TTCTGTCTGTGTTTGGTTTGATCGTGAGCTGGAGGGGAGGGGAGGGGATCTCTGCGCTTCACAGGGAGCCCGGCGCAGCGCGCCCTGGCTCCCCGGCTGCCAGTGCGGAGTGATGCGCCCGTGCTGTGTCCAGGCATTGGTGGGGGGGTAACGGGCTGTTCCCAGGTTGGAATGGGATTCACACTGCAAAGCCCTGGAGGGTCTGGTATTAAAGGTCAAGATGTCAGCCAGGACTGAGGAATTTCTATGCAGGAGTGTGCCTCACTAGTGGGAATTGAGGCACCGTGGCAGAGTGCTGTGCACAGGTTGTGTTGTTGCCTCTTGCTCTCTTACAAGCGTGTGTGTAAAACATTACGGAAAAAGGTCAGGAAAACGAAGCTGGGGTTGTCTGGAGCGCAGAGCACAAGCACACGTCAGCAGGAGCATTCCTTGTGGGGCTCAGCTGGAAGATGGCACTTCCCAATGTCTTTATTTTAACAACTGATGTCACGGTCTGTTCATGCTGCTCCTGGTGGGCGAGGGAGGACGACAGGGGCAGCTCATCTAAAAGCAGAGCGAGCCGCTCCGCTCTGCACCAGGAGCCCCAGCCAGGCCAGATCTGGAGCTGGGTATGGAGCTGGTGTCCTCGCTGCTGCCATCCCCCATGGCTTGCACAAGTGACAGAGCCACTTCTGCTGGGAGGTTGCTGAAAATGTAATGACGCAAAGTGAAACCGATGCTAATTTGGAGGTGAGGCATGAAGAGAAGCTGCGATCAGACTGCTGGCTTTTAAAGGATCGTAGGCACAGTGCTCGATGCTGCAGCCTCACAGGGTTCTTTAATCCTTCTGTCTACTAGGAAGAGCCTAATGAATGTGTGAATACCGAGTTGCCCCTCTTACAGGGGTCTGGATTTGGTGTCTCTTGTGTTTCTCTGATGCCTTTTCTTGTCTCGCTTGCAATAAAGGGCCAAATAACACATAATCTTTTATGGGTCTGGTTTGTGGCCAGCTGCCCGCAGTGATGCTGCCTCTGCTTCCTCCCACCGCACAGTCCCACTACACAGCACGGTCTGTGGGACCCTGCTGTGGATGGGCTTAGGAAGCTGGTGTGGGCTGGAAGTGCTGTTTTGGTTCCCTGGGTGTCTTCATGCTGGTGTGGCCACAGGAGTGGGCCAGATGACGTTGTGCATCCCAAGAGCATCCCAGCCTCTGGCGGAGCGCGTCCCGGAGCTGGGGTGGCTGGTGCCTCGGAGCAGGTTTGCAGCACTGTGTTTGGAGGTTTCTTCTTGGTTCCGTGGCGCTCAGCTGAGCGTGGCCATCTGTGCCTGCAAAGGCACGGCTGCGGCTCCGCTGCGTGCCAGGAGAAGGGTCCTGTGACGTGGCTGTCAGACAGAGCCAGAGATCGATTTCCCTCTGGGATAGCGGCTGTTCCCTTGGCCGTGCCATTTGTGTGCCTGTTGCCTTCACAGCCTCTGCTTCTGGAGCCAGAGCATCAGTGAAATGGTTAAAAGGACTGCATTTGGAGCTTAACAAATCCTGCTCTTCGGTTTCCCCACAAAATTCCAGGTTTAAAATACAAATTGTCCCCTTGTCTCTCTGCCTCAAACCCAGCTCAAGGCACAGAAGATCTTCAAAGAGCATGTACAAAGCCTCCCTGTGAAGTGATACCCTGGTAGCTGCCCATCACATCGTGATCATTAGGGACCCAAGAAGTGATGTTCAGGGCTGCAGTGGCTGTTTATGGTGGGAGCTGGCACTCAGAGCCGTCACAAGCTCGTAATTACCATGCTGTGAGATGATCAAATGGGCTTCATGGAAGCTCGGCTGCCTCATGGCTGTTTGCAGCCCCAGGGTGGGGTCTTGCCTGGGGAGAAGCAGGAGATTCCTCTCTCCAGGCTGTGAGAGACCTGAATCTCATTGGGCATTGTGGGAGCGTGGCAGAGACCAGTGCAACTGGAAAGGGCAGGGCTGTGTTTGGGCTCTCGCCATGGCTGATCCCATCCAGCTCTGCCACGTACCTGCCTGCTCCTGTCCTGCAGGACACCAGACAGGGAAGAGTCCTGCTGAAATTCTTTGTCTAAACCAAGCCCTACACTGCTGCATTATTGCTGCCCTCGTGTATTGCAGCATCCGTGTTCTGAGTTGATTGTTCATGCTGAGCGCTGCAGCCTGGCTGCTGCTGCTGGAAGGAATTCAGTTTTGAGTGTGACCTTGACGTCTTCACTAGCACGTGAACCATGTCAGGCTGTCCTGGAGCTACCCTAAAGGGTTGGTCATTGGGGGGGAGACTCAGATTGGCTGCAGTTCAGTGCAGGGGTAAGTGGCACCAGGATGGTGGGGAGGTTCTGCTCCGGGAAAGCACCAAACAGCACAAGGGAGCAGAAGCATCGGTTGTATTCAGAGGGCTGCCCATTCTGTGAGCTCAATGGATTGGAGAGAAGGAATAAACCAACAAAACCTGGGGTTTAAGGCTTCTTTTGTTGGCCTCGCTCTTTCCCAGCAGTTGTTTGTCCTAACACAGCAACAACAGCAAAACCCTTTGGAGCTGAGTGGCAGCTGAAGGCCCTGCAAGCACAGCAACTGCTTCTGTGCTTCGGTATCGGCAGCATCTTGAACTTGAACCAGGCCATTATTGCTGCTCATAGAAATAAAAGGCAACTGCATTTCAAGGTCACTGTCAAAGACTGTCCCTGGAGCTGCCCGGTTGCCTCAGCAGCTCTAAGAGCAGCGGAGCCGTTCGGAGTTCAGGGTATTCTTGTCCTGACCCAGCAGCGGCCGAACGCCAGAAGAGAGGAGAAAAGCGAGCCCTGTGTGAGCACATTTGGGTTTCCTCCGGCCGAGGCATGACTGAGTTCTCAATGCAGCCCTGCCGAGCTGGAGCCTATTTTAAACTGCGGAGCAGCGATGCTGCCTGTTGCCTGGAAACCTCCTCCCAGCCTCGGGCTCTCGCAGCCTAATCATAGCCACCGGCAGCCTTGATTTATTTGCCATCCAGAATGTCATCGCGGGCTCTCCGCTTCGGGCTTTTGTTTGCTTGCTTTTGTTTGGTATTTACAGTGAAAAGACACAAAAGTGTCACTGTCAAACTCGGTGCCTTTCTGTGGGAACAGCTTGGCTGTCCCCTGCTCCGCGGTGCTGGGAACCGGCGCGCTGAGCTCCCCATGTGGTGGCTTGGAGAGGGGAGAGGAGGACAAGTGGGGGCTGAGGAAGCCCCCCCCAGCCCTGCAGTGCCTCCTCCTACAAGGAAAAGCAAACCTGAGCAATGCTGAGCCCCCGTGTGTCCTAACTCCCCATCCACATGCGGCTGCACCATCCTGTGCTGGATCCATGGGCCAGCATTGGGCTGCCTGGATTAGCACAGGCTCGTCCTGCCCTTGGGTTCCATCCCTGCAGAGGCGTCAGTCTGAGCTTTAACAGCTCCATGTGGTGACAGATGAATGGGAGAAAGCTTAACTTTGAGGTCTCCCTGTCCTCGGGCCCCCTTTTAATTCACCTCAACTCTTGGCCACCATAAAACCTTACTTGATGCCACCTCTCCCCTAGGAAAACTTTAAGTGATCGCGATTTCCTCTTAGCGCGATCGATCCCGGTGGGATGGAGCAGAATTGATTGCAGGAACCCAGCTGGGATTCGGCTGTACCTGTGTCCAGGGAGCCCCTTGGGAAAGCACAGGGCTGGAATCAGCTGGAAGCTGGTAACAAATGCTAACCAGGGAGGTTTGTGCATGGGGCCTCGGAGCTGCCTCGGCTGCTCACGGGTTGTCCTTGTGATTTAAGCGGTTTATTTTACAGAGCTGGCAATATTTGCTCTCCCAGCAGCAGAACTAAGGCAGGCTTTGACTGGAGACGCAGATGAACAGAGGTTTGCGTTTTGTTGAGCTTCTTGCTGCAGGCATAGAGCGATGCACAAGGCTTATCATGGCCTGACTTTTATTTCCCTCTCGAGTTAAAGTCTGACAGCCAGCTTAGGCTCTTGTCTCGCAGTCTGTAAGTCCACATTGTCAGGGACAAAGAGAAGAACCAAAGCCAGGCAAAGGGCAGACACTTTTCCCATCCCCATCTTCCACTGTGTGCTGGGGATTAAGAAAAAAAGGGTCATTTACCAAGGAGCCTGTGCCTGTGACTGAATCGTGCTCTGAAATCCCATATCTCTGCTTCCCCGTGGAAGGATGGGAGTGCTTGAGGGGCTGCACCCCCGAGGTGTTGCTTTGTTTTGCAGAGAGGTGGCAATATCTGTTGAAATCCAAACTCCCCCGTTCTTAACCATTAGAAGCAGAAGTTGCCCTTCTGTGAGCTCTCTTCTGCACTTTGCAGCTGACCTGGTCTGCTTTGCTCTATAACGCAGGGCACAGACCTGTTATTGTCTCCTCGGATGTTTATTGCCTTGGTTTCCAAGCAAAGCTTCCTACAGGTGATGCGCTTCCTCTGGGGGAGGGAGGAGACAGAAGGAAGAATCATGTGCATGGGGGGAGACAGGAAGAGGAACAGCAGAGGAAAGGTGGAAAGCTGCAGTCACAGATGGCAAAGCAAGAGGGTTCCTTGTCCTGCCTGTGCGAGCAGCACCCCTGAATGGCCGAGCGAACAACCTCACACTGCTCATGGCAATAGCAAAGGGAAATGATCGAGCGCTTGGGGGGATGCAGTCTGTGGAGCTGTGCTCAGCGCTGGAGGTTTAACAAAACACAAGTCCAAAGGAGGGGAAGAAATGAGCGCTCAGACACGGGCTGGTGGGGTTTCCTTTGCTAATCTCTCCCAGCTGCACGCAGTTGGAGCTCATGCCCTCGTGTTTTCTTTCCTCTGTTGGGTCAGCTCTCCCCGCTCCCTGCTAAGATCAGTATTTCCCCTCTCTCCTCTTTGTTGGTGGCCGTCGGGGTTTGTGCTGTGCCAAGACACAAGCTCTTGCGGGCAGCACCAGGGTTTGTGCACAGGGGGTGGGCGCTTCTTGGCCTTGGTGGTCCCTCTCCCCGGTCTGATTTCCCAGCCCGGTGCACTTGGCTAACCTGGCTTCTTCTCCCTCCCAGAATGAAGAGAAGAGGAACCTCTCCCTGGGGGGCCATGTCGGCTTCGACAGTCTCCCGGACCAGCTGGTCAGCAAGTCCGTCACCCAGGGCTTCAGCTTCAACATCCTCTGCGTGGGTGAGCGCTGGCCCCTGCACACAGACACGGGCTGGGACCAGGGTTCATTCCTTGTGCCGTGCCGCAGCCTCGGCGCTGACTTCGAGCAAACCCAAGATGCCCAAGTCTTTAAAAATGGGGTTTAATTGCAGTGGAGTTGAGCTCTCTGGAGCTTGGTGCTTCTGAGCTGGGGCTTTCGCATGTGGCTGTTGGAGACCCATTGCCCAAAATCAGGGAGAATATGGGGGAAAGCTTAAACACATCAATTTTGTGCTTTGGTGAGGAAGAGGGGGAGGAAACGGCTGTGGGGCCATCCAGGTCTGCATTGAGCTCGGCTTCTGGTGCGGAAGCTGCAGGGTGGCAGGGAGGGCCAGTGGCTGAAACCAGAAGAGTCCCATCATCAGGGAGGTGGTGCTCATCTCCTCTGCAATAGGAAGGATTAAGAGAAACGGCAAGTGAAATGTTTGCACACTGGGGTGGCTGGCATGAGGCTTGTGCCTGGCTGGTGCTGTCCCAGGTGAGTCAAAGGGCTGGAAGTGTGACCCCCCCGTGCTTGGAAAGGGAGAGGGAGTGTTCCTGCTTTTATTGATTGTACAGTATTTGTCTGGAAGCTTGAGAGCGGTTGTGAGAAGAAATACCCTCATTATGTGCTTGGTTTTTACCTCCGGTATTGAGGTGAGCAGGCGATGCTGCTGGAGCACTAGGAACCAGTTCCTTCCAGAGATGAGACGAGCATTAGTTTTACTTTGGCTGGATCTTGCGTATGAATCTGCAGTATTGTAACCTGCTAGAACAGCAGAAATGCATCCAGAGACAGCAGCTCCCTGCCTGGCCCTCAATCTGCCCAAAGAGAATATGGCTCTGGAGAATGTGGCTTGTGTCAGTAGTGAGCTCTCCGCATGACTCCTTTCAGCTCAGTCTGGAGCACCAGGCTGCTTTATTGCCCTGCACAACTCTTGCCCGCAGCGGGTAGGATGCAGTGCGTGCCTCTGCCCTGTTCTGAGCACCACGAGGTGTTTATCCTGCACTGGAGAGCAGAATCCAGTGCTTGGAGAAGCAAAAAAGCCCCAACCCCTTGGCAGCAGGTACGGCACCTCCCTTGAGCAGACGCTTGCTCACCCTCCTGCTCTGCCATGTGCACCTTAGGGCTCCTCGCAGGTTCAGGGGGCAGTGGCTGCCTGTGCTGAAGGTGTAGCACAGGAGACCGCCTGGGAATGAGCAAGGAGGAGGTTATTGCATGGGATTTTGCCTCTTTGCACTCCCTTGGCCAATAGGGCTGCGTGTAGTGAATGAGGAGTTTAAATGGAGCCCCTTGTAGGCCACTCTGGAAGACATCAGTCTCATTTAGTTACCAGGAGCAGCCATTCAAAGCCTTTCTGCATCACGGATGACTTTGAGCCAAATATCCGGGGATAGAGCTTGGTTTGTGATGCATCCCAGGTGTCCTTCAGTGGCTGTTGGAACAGCGGGGCTGCGGATGGGAAACTTGTCCTGAGCATGCCCTTGCTGGTTCTCCAAGGAGCATTCTCTCCAGAGGAAAGCAGTGTTTTGCTGTGCTGTGTGATGCTCGCTGGGGAGATGGGGGCAGAGAGCTCTGTGTTAGCTTTGCATTAAGCATGGGAGGCCTTCAAGAATGCAGTGACTGGGGTGAGAATTACGTGTCCGTGCGCAGCAATTTGTAGTAACCGCTCACAGTGTAATTTACTGTGCTCTGTAATTAATGTCCTTTGAAGTACCTGTGGCAGGCTCATGCTGCAGGGAGCTGATGGTTTCTCCTTCCCAGGTGAGACCGGCATTGGGAAATCCACACTAATGAACACCCTCTTCAACACCACCTTCGAGACGGAGGAGGCCAGTCACTACGAGAGCGCGGTCCGCCTGCGGCCACGCACCTACGACCTGCAGGAGAGCAACGTGCACCTGAAGCTGACGATCGTGGATGCCGTCGGCTTCGGGGACCAGATAAATAAGGATGAAAGGCAGGTTCCGCGCCATCTGCTTGGCTTTCCCGGGCTTGCCTCTGGTGCTTAAGACGCAAAGTGCCTGCAGCCCTGCGTGCCCGTGTTTCTGTTCATGGAGCAGCTCCCTGCAGCGGCTCTGGTTCTGGGGACTGAGTGAATTGGGTGAGGAGCCAAAAAGAGGGGTCATAGGAGGTTTGTCCCGCAGAGAACGGTGTCCTCCAGGAGCGGGAGCGGTTGACAGGCTGCCCTCGGTGCAGGGTTGGGAATGATCTGTTCTGACAGTGACCAGTGTCGCTGGACCTGTCTCATTTAATTGCACAGACATCTTGTTCAAGCCCGAGGTGAAGGCATTCTGGGACTCCAAGGTCTCTCCTTGGTCACGCTGCATTGCTGCAGCCAGATGGCTCAGCCCTGAGACCTGGGCAGAGTTAGATCTGGGGAGGGAGTTGTGTTTCCATGCTCCAGTGTCCTTATTTTCCAGTGCAGCCTCAGGAGACTCCTTTGGATTACAGGGTCTGTGTGTAAATGCCACACTCCTCCTGTTGTGAGGCTACATCGTTTGAGTCTCGTGGTTGCTTTTACAGTGATGGAACCCCTGAAGCCTTTGCAGTGCCGGTGCCCCAGGCCTGGCTTGCTAATGGTCTGGTTTTAGTTACAGGCCGATAGTTGAGTACATTGATACGCAGTTTGAAAATTACTTACAAGAGGAGCTGAAGATCCGGCGCTCCCTCTTCAACTACCACGACACCAGGATCCACGTCTGCCTCTACTTCATCACCCCCACCGGCCACTCCCTCAAGTCCCTGGACCTGGTCACGATGAAGAAGCTCGATAGCAAGGTGAGGGGCTGGACACCATGGTCCATCTTCCTGGAAGGGTTCATTGCTTCTGTGTCAGTGCTGGACCCCTTCCTGCCTGGTAGCTGGGGCATTTATAGGACTCTGATCAAACTTCATCTGTCCTGGTGGTTGCTGAGGTCTTGTGCTTGCTTTCTCACTGCCTTGCCTGAAGAATATCAGGTGCAAAACCTGTTTCCCAGCCGTCTGGAGTGTCCCTCACTATAAGAATCTTACCCAGGTTAGCTCATCTTTACCAAAGCCATCAGCTGCAACTTCCTTACCTGCGCTTTACACGTGTGCAGGTAAGGGTGTGTTCTGAGGGCCAGGTGGTCCTCACAGGAGATCACAGTATCTCCTGAAGATGTTCAAGCATGGTGAGAGATCCTCAAGGTCATAGAATCTGAAAAGTGGGTCGTGAGAGGGTCTGCCTGTGCACAGGCTATTCTGCCTAAGGCAGCAGTGGGTTACTTAACTGGCTCCTTACTTAACTGTGGGTTACTTAACTGATGGGTTAACTTAACTTAACTTAACTTAACTTAACTTAACTTAACTGTGGGTTACTTAACTGATGCTTCTGCAGCTCAGAGGAGGTTTCTGACACACTTCTGGCTTCCAGGGAGCTGCAGGAGGCTTCGAAGGTCACAAGTGGCAGCAGCATCTCCTCTTTGCAAGCATTTCCTATCTTTCAGAGCAGTGCTTTAGCAGCAAGGTGGGGGCAGATGCTGATGAGCCTGCAGAGGGGACAGGCAAGGTGCTGGGACCCTGCAGTAACAGGGGGACCCTGGGTAGAGTCCCCCTTGCAGGGTCCCTGCTGTTTGCCCTCCCACTCAGGGCTGCTTTCCCTTGGCCCTGCTGCAGAGCAGGCACTGCCCTCCCATTGCAGTGGCTGTTGTAACCCTGGTAGCTGTTACACTGACTTCATCAGGCATCCAGAAACTTTCCCTCAATAAACCCTTGTCTCCTGGTGTGCTGCCAGCATTACACATCCCCAGAAATATGCTTGGAGGAAAGCTTTTGCACGATTCCCCTTGGTGCTGGTGGTCCCACAAAGCTCTTCCCTTCCCTTCCTTCTCCATTCCCTGCTTTTCACATCTCCCCGTGGTTGCCTTTCATGTGGTCCTTGGGTAGTACCAAAATAAATCCTTTGTACTTGTGCAGAGCTGAGGACTTTGTGCGCACGCAGGCTTTTTATATTTCTAAACTTCCACTTAAATTGTCCTCCCTGGAGTCCTTTAATCCCTTTGCTCTCATTTCCCTTCTTACCACAGTGTGAGAACATCTTGGGTTTGGTGGTGTGGTGGCTTTGCGCAAGGAGGCACATGGACGTGAATAAGCGACCCGAGACCATTGATGTTTCCTGGGTGTCAGGGATTTACGTTGTGTTTCTGCATCAGTGCCATCCCAGGCCATCAAGGTGCTCTCCAGGCGCTCCAGGATTTGTGCATGACAGCGCTGAGCCCCCTTCCCAGTGCACCTGAATGGCTGTGCATGGGGCGGAGTGCAGTGGGTGTCAGCAAGCCCCAGGCAGCTTTCTGCCCGCTCCACACCGGTAACAGGGAGGTGATGTGCTCTGCCTCGGGTCTGCAGCCCTGGCAGCACACCTGAACCTGGCTTTCCCCTTGGGAAGCTGTGGGTGGTTGGTGGAGAACGGGGCCCATGGGGACAAAAGGTGCATCAGGGGCTGGGCTTTGTGGTGTGCTCTGCTGACTCAGCTTCTGGGGCTAGTTCAGCAGGGGTTTTGAGGCTCGGTTCCACCTTCGCTCCAGCGCGCCATGGCACGGCACCAGGTGCTGGGCAGGCCTCTGAATGTGGGTGATGATTTCAATAACACATCTTGCCTTCAGTGTAAAGTTTACAAAGTCCCTTCTGAGTAAAGCTGGTTCGTAAACAGAACCTTCCATTGTGCTGTGGTGCATCATCTGTTTGGCTGAGCTCATGGCCAGCTGCTCTCAGGGTATTCAGTTACAGCCGGAGGGCTAGAAGCATCTTCAGAAGTGGTTCTGGGTCGATGGAATGGCTGCTGGGTGGGAAGCACGTAGGACCTGGCAGGGGTTGGCTTTCCATTGGGTTTAATGTGGAGAAAGAAGATAGATGAAGTTGCCTCTGTATCAGATGAGGAGGTGATGTACTGATGTGAAACAGCCCTGCCCTGGGAAGTGATGCCCAGCTGTGGGCATCCCGGGGCTCCCTGTTGTTGTCCTGGATGGGTTCCAGTGCTGTTTAGGAGCTGTAGATAATTGCCTGCCCTTCGTGACTTGAGAAGGAGGTGGGGTTTATGGGTGTGCATTGAGTTCACTGTCTTGTCTGAAGCACAGATTTCCTTGGGTCATAATTCCAGGCCAAGGGGAATGGCTTTAACCTCAGGGGAGACTGAGCTGAGCTCTTAGGCAGAAGCTCTTCCCTGTGAGGGTGCTGAGGCGCTGGCACAGGGTGCCCAGAGAAGCTGTGGCTGCCCTGCTCTTAGCAGGTCAGTGAGGCACCCAGCTGTGGTCATGGCCCTTTTTACGTGGGTAATGAGGACACTGACCTGCTGAGGAGCAATAGACCTTGTTCTGTGTGGGTTTGTGGCCCTTGGTAAAGAGGCCAGGTCAGTGGCTGCGAAAAAGAGGGATTTTATCCCCTTGGATGTATTTGCAATGAGCAAATTAAGACGATTTTCTTTTGGAGCGAGTAAATGCTCTTGCATTTAGTGGGTGCTAAACCAGAGGGAGGAGGGAGGAACACGAAGTATGGAAAAACCACTGAGCCACAAAGAGAGCTTGAGCTGGGAAAGCAAGGTTATTTATACGAATGGCACCCACTGGAGCCCAAATGGCTGCTCTGAGTCTGTGCTCTGTAGGACAAAAAGCCTTGGCTGTTGAGAACTCTGAGATGGCAAATCAGGCTTTCCCCTCGTTTGTCTCAGCCCGTGCGTGTCGCTGCTGTGAATTTGGCTGCTGTTCAGAGTTGTGCTGTTGTTTGTTTAAGCAGTGGTTTGCAGCGTGGCACTTGGCTTCTCCGGGCATCGCAGCAGAATCTAATAGAGGTTCCTGTGACAGATCCTGCCCTGGTGCAGCTCTCTCAAGCACGAGGCCACACAGCGAACCACATCCCTCCTGAAGCGTGGGGTGTGTGGCCCTTGTTTGCTCTTGACCTTGATGGGTGCCAAGCACGGTGGGGACCTCCCCACGCTGCAGCTTGTGGGTGGCTTTGAACCCTGGGCTGATGAAGCTCCATGGGGTGTTGTGCTGGTGAGTGCCATGTGAAACCAGCAGGACCCCCAACCTCCTGTGTGCTGCACCCTGCACCTCTCCCAGGGGGTCTGTGTCATCCACACAGCGCGCCCGAGTTGTGATCCGCGTGGAGTCCTCGGAAAGGTTCTGTAGCTGCTGTAAAAGCATCCGAGGAGCCTCTGCTCCTCCTGCTGAGGCATGGGAAGGGCTCCACCAGCTCACTGCAGCGTTGTCATCCTTATGCCTGTCTTCTAAACCAGCCTGTCAGCACAGCCAGAAGCGAGAGGTGATAACTGGAGATGTGACAGTTACGCAGCCTCTGCCTCCCTCGAAGCGTGTAACAACAAAACGCATAGGCACGAGCAGAGGCTTTGATCTGCTCCTCGTGTATTTATTGCAGGATGTTTGTCTTTGCTTTATCGGGAATCCGTAGCCAAATCAGGCCTGGAAAACTCTTCCCTCTAGTGTTCAGCTGGGTTCGTGCTGCAGCGCATGCAAAGCACAGCACCTCTGTGTGAAAGGCAAAGCAGCCACCGGGGTAAGACCCGGGTCACCCATGGGCACCATGGAGCTGCTCACGCCACTGCTGCTCACCTGGCTTGTTTCTCCTTCCTTCCTCCCGCTGCAGGTGAACATCATCCCCATCATTGCCAAAGCGGACACCATCTCCAAGAGCGAGCTGCACAAGTTCAAGATCAAGGTGATGAGCGAGCTGGTCAGCAATGGGGTGCAGATCTACCAGTTCCCCACGGACGATGAAGCGGTCGCTGAGATCAACTCGGTGATGAATGTGAGTGCTGGTTCCAGTCACACTGAGGGCACCAAAAGCTGTGACAGATTGAACTGCTGCACAAACCAGTATTTAAAAGGCAATTCCAGCGGGGTTGTCTGGGCACTGAATCTGTTTGACAGTTGAGCTGAGGATGCGAGAGGTGCCCAGGGCTGTTGTGTGCAGAGTTAATCACAGCGTGGCTCTGACTGAATCTGTGGGCTCTCTGGAGAAACGGCTCCAAAGTTTGTTTTATTGCCTATTTGAAGAATACTTTCATTAAAATTCATTCTCTCTGCCTTTGAGGCTGCCCCTCACATGAGGAGGGGGAAACTGGGAATGAAACTCTTACAGTTAAGATGTATGTTATTCCCCACTTAAGGCCAAGCAGAGAAAAAATCCGTTTTAAACTAAAGAAGAAAAATGATTTGACTCTATTTTGTTTTTTGGGGATTCAAAGATCAACTTCAGAACAAGTGCAAAACACCTTCAGGTTTCCCATCTCCCAGACCACAGTGTAGCTACTGCAGTCAGAGCAGCTGAGATGCCTCCATGTTGATTTGTTAACTAAAAAGCAGCTTTTTCATCAGAACGAGCATCTTCCTGCATGGCTGCTTCTGATTAAATGCTTTGTCTTTTATCCCTGCCCCCCTGTTTAAATTTACTTTAAATCTCAATAGCCAATTGATTTCTGGGTCAAGTAGATGGGTGTTTTCACCAGAATAGCTCTGGTTTTGCTGAATTCATAAGAAATTGGAGGCTACAACCATCTTTCTAAAGCGATCGCAAGCTGTGTGCGCTGGGGATTGAAAGGGGAGCCGGGGCTGCTTGGTCCTTGCCCCAGTGAAAATATTCTTGGCCACTTCTCTACCACTTCCACACTTGTGGATCCCTTTCTTCCTAAACATGAAGGGTTTTGTCAGCCTCATCCAACTGAAGCGCCGGCTCCGTGGCTCCTGCGGTGCTGAGGACAGTGCCCTGTTCCTTCGCTGTGCTCCGTGCGTTGCAGGCTTGGGGAGCAGCGAGCACATGTTGTATCCTGCTCACGTCCCTTCCAGTGCCCACACACAAACTGCTCTGCCAAGGCCTGTTTATGGATGTCTCTGCTTGTGCTTTCTGCAAGGCAGGGAGTGCCCCGCTCTTGGCGTGGGGAAAGAGCTGAGAGAACAACCTGACAAATGGATACAGGGACATCAGTGATGATCATGGTGTTCCTACAATATTTCCCCATCCAGTCCAGCCAGCAGTGCCAATAAGCTGTGCTGCAGCCTTATGCTACTCTCTGTTGCAGTATCCCATTTCACAATAGAGGCTGCTCTGGGTATTGGAGGTTAGATTCAGAGGAAGGACTTCTTGGAGCAGATCCTGGGGCAGGGGGATCCAGCGGTCAGGCTCATCTCTGGACTCACGCACTCAATCTCTCCTTGGCTCTGTTTCAGGCTCATCTGCCCTTTGCTGTGGTCGGCAGCACAGAGGAGGTGAAGGTTGGGAACAAGCTGGTGAGAGCTCGGCAGTACCCATGGGGAGTGGTGCAAGGTAAGGTGCTGCCTGCCAGGCACCCGCCGCAGACCTGCCTTGTGCATGCAGGGCACCCTCTCCATCCAGCTCTGCCCTCCTGCCAGCACACGTGTGTGGAGGTGCCCTGTGCTGAGCACTGCAGAAACATCCTGTGCAGCCTTCTGTGGGTTGGCCAACCTTCCCTTTGAATTCCCATTCCATTCCTACCAGCAGGCAGTAATGGTCGATGGGAATCCCTGCGTCCAAGGGGCTGTGTTGTGCTCTGTGCGGGACAACAGCTGGAAGTCCCTGGGAGGGCAGTGCCTGGAGTCAGTCTGTGCTTGTGCTCTGCTGTGTGTGCGGTTGGCTGAGTCCTCCCTTTGCCTCCATCAGTTGAGAATGAAAGTCACTGCGACTTCGTGAAGCTGCGGGAGATGCTGATCCGGGTCAACATGGAGGATCTCCGGGAGCAGACTCACACCCGCCACTACGAGCTCTACAGGAGGTGCAAGCTGGAGGAGATGGGCTTCAAGGACACAGATCCTGACAGCCAGCCCTTCAGGTGAGCGCCCTTCATGTCTACAGCATCCATACCGAGCAGTAGCTTGTTACTGACACTCCAAACAGGAAGGCTTGTAGGTAATATCCTCAATGCTGGGCTGGCAGGAGCTAGCACTGGGGTTGAACTTTGCAGCTGACTTAAGCATTCCCTCCCCTGTTTGTCTTGAGGCAATGCAGGCAGGCATGCATTTCCCCATCCCTAACTCACCGGTGGCCAGAGGGTCTGGATTTTGTTTGCTTTCTTCCCCAGCCTCCAAGAAACGTATGAGACCAAAAGGAAAGAGTTCTTGGGAGAGCTCCAGAGGAAAGAGGAAGAAATGAGACAAATGTTTGTTAACAAAGTCAAGGAGACGGAGGCAGAGCTGAAGGAGAAGGAGAGAGAGGTGGGTGTGCCAAAAACCCGGGAGAGGAGCCCAAAATGCAGCCAGCATAGGAGCTGGGGCTGGCCACCGTGAATCCTGGAGAGCATGCACAGCTCTGGAGCACAGCAGCCAAAGCACAAACACAGGCACACACGTCCCCCCACTCGGAGAAGGGGACACGGGGCAGTGTTTTCACAACAGCATCCCTGGTTGAAGTGCCTCAGAAACAGCAGCTCTCCCCATCCTGTGCTGGGTGTAGGAGACTCGGATGCTGCTTGGTGAGCATCTGTGTCGGATGGCTCACTGGGCAGCAGAGTAAAGGGGGGAGCTGGAATCCCCAGGTCAGTGTTGTGAGGCCATGGGCAGCCATCAGGACTGGGGAGGAGATAAATGAACCATCTTCAAAACTGGTGAGGAATAAAGAGCCCACAGGGTCCCCGGAGCAGGGAGCCTCAGTGCACATACCTGGGCTCACGCTCTCTCCTGCTTTGATGTATGTGATATATTCAGCTCGCAGCAGCCCCGAATTCATTGTGTGTTCACTGCTTTTGGTGAAGGCCAGCTCTGCTGGGGGCTGGCCCGGTGCAGGGGCACCGCTGGACCCCACCACCCAGCCGTGTCTGTGGGGTGGTGGGGATTCGTGTGGAGTGAAGCAGGGCAGGGGGTCACAGCCCCATGGCTGTGTGGGTGCGATGCTCAGAGGGTTTGTCTCCCCGCAGCTGCACGAGAAGTTTGAGCATTTAAAGAGGATACACCAGGAGGAGAAACGGAAGGTGGAGGAGAAGAGGAGGGAGCTGGAGGAGGAGATGAACGCCTTCAACCGGCGGAAAGTAGCGGTGGAAACCTTGCAGTCCCAATCCTTGCAGGCTACCTCACAGCAGCCGCTGAAGAAGGACAAAGACAAGAAAAAGTAAGTGACTGAGCTCAAGTCTTTCTCCTCTGCTGCCTGGAAGGTCAGCGGCTCCTGGGGTGCTTCAGTGTTGGTCAGTGCTTTAGGCAGCAAATGGAAAAGGGGATTTTGGAATCCTAATTCCTGCTCTTCTGACTCTGCTTCAAGAGACGGGGTCCTGGGGAAGTGGTGGCTGCAGGGGAGAGGGATTTGCACTTTGGGGCCATTCTCTGAAGGCCGAGAGTCGCGAGGGTTTGCCCTTACCTCTGTGGCAGGCAGCTCCTCCGCTCCTGGGGACCAGCACAAGCTGCATCTTCTCCCCAGCGTGGGATGATCTTGGCGCGGTTGTAACGTCTCTCAGATGTGGTCCCTGTCATCTGTAGGCTTGGGGCCCTCGGCAGTTGTTTTTAGGAGCAGAGTTGTAAAGGAAACAGCAGCTTAGTGAGAAAATGCATTGGGAATTCAGGAGGGCTCCATGTGAAGCAGGGCTCCAGGACACAGCTCTGCTCAAGAGAAAGATCTTTTCCCCTGCAGGCAGAATTCTTATCTCAGCTTGCTGCAAGTTAATGCACATTGCTGAAGCCAGCAGCAGTGTGGAGGAGGGCATGTAAATAATGCTCCTTCAGGCACCTGAAGGTGTAAAGAGAGCAGGAATGGGCAAACAGGTTTAAAGAGAAAAGGGGCATGTGTGATCCTGCTTGCATTCAAGCCAGTCTTCAAGGAACACTGGCCAGGGAGCAAAATGAGAAGCGCCATCACGCAAGCTGGGAATTCTGTTATTCCAGCATCTTTTGTTACTTCCTCTTGTGTGAAGGAGCTTGAGAGTCTGAGCTGCATCCTGTCAAACCCAGCACAGGCTGGTGGCAGTGCTCCTGAGCCTTCTAGTGATGGCAGCTGAAACAAGACCATCGAGAGTAGCAACACCCGAGGTGCTCTTGGCAGCACAACGTTCAGCTTCACGTGGCTGATGAGACCTTGTGCTCTGACACTTCTCTGCTGTGAGCTGCAGCACGAGAAGAGCTCATTCTGGGCACTGACACGCTGGTAGTTTGCCTCTTCCCATGGAAGATGAGTGTGTATTCTTTAACCTGTTTCCTTGGGAATGTGTTATGGTGTTAAAGACACAAACCCACTCTTTTCTGCAGCCCTCTCAGCATCCTCTGGGCATGGCCCACCTCACACATAGAACCCAAAACACTTTGTAAACTATGTTGCTGAAAACAGGGTTTAATCCGGCTGAACTCGCACACGAATTAGGGGTTGAACCCTGGGCCAGGCTGGGGCTGGGCCTGCTTTGAAAGAGGCAAGCACGCTGAGCTGCACACTGGTACCTTGGGAGAGTGATGCCGGTGCTGGGATGCTCTGGGGATGCTGTGCTGTGCACTGGCCAGGCTGGAACACTGCAGCTGCCCCTCCGCTCCATCTGCCTGTGAGGGAAATGGGTTTCCTGGGCTTTTGTGGCTTTATCCCACCTGAGATGCGAGTCTGGACCCCTTCTTCTGGTGGTGAATAGGAGCCAGCCATGGCCAGGAGCAGGGCCGGGAGAAGGCAGCTCGGGGGGTGTACAGAGAACCAAGGGGCACCCACAGCATGGTGGGACCCTGCTTGGTGCTGGGGCTCTCTTCCTCTCCAGAGCATGGCTGGAGGGGGTGCACCATCACCAGGAATAAAACCGGTAACTTAGGGAGATGTGGTTTTAATGGGATTTGGGTCATTTGGGTTTTTAGCTTTATTGGTTGGGTGGTTTTTGGCTTCATCTGGGAGGTATCTAAAGGAGCAGGGGGTCCTGTGGAGCCCGTGAGGCTTCACCCGGCCGAGCGCACGGTGTGGGCTGTGCTGTGGCTTTGTGCAGTGAGTTTCTGGCGCTGTATGGATGCGATGGAGCTGGAAAAGTATCCTGGGTTTATGGGCAAGGCGTTGGGAGCTTGCAGGAACTGGGAGTATATCGGGAGTTTGGAGAGGGGGTGGTTTTGTTTCTGTGTTCACTAGAGCTGGTCAAAGCTTTTATCATCTCCTGTTTCAACACAGTGCTTTTAGTGGCTTTAATCAGTGCGAAATGAAGATGAATTGCAGGTGTCAAGGGGAAATGCAAGTGTTTGTGCTGAGGTTCCCCCTTGTGCTTCCCTGTGCCAGGCAGGTTGCGCTCCAGTGTGGAATTTGCTGTCTCCCATTGGTCTTCAGGTGCCTGAGCAGCCTTTGCCCTTCCCTCCCCTTGTTTTGTTTTTAACATATTTCGCTGCATTTTGCTTTTTGTTTCGTTTTCATAACTTTAATTTATGCTTTTGTTTTTTTATGCTTTGTTTCTTTCAGTTAATCACACACAGACTTTCAGGCCAAGAGTGGACTTGGTGCTTTCATGTGTTAAGTTGCTTGAGTTTCCCACCCTGTGACCCTTCTCATAACATTGTGTGAGTGGACCAAAGTGAAAGAGAAAATGAGCATCTTCGGTGCTGGCGGTGTAAGGACTCCCTGTTATCCGTGCAGAGTGTGGCAGGAGGCTTTGAGGAAGTAACCACCTACCTTTTGTTAAACAAAGGCAACTAATCCCTAAAATCAGGTGTTTTGTTCTAAACCCAGGGGTCGAGCAGCCGTGTATGCAGCGACCGTAACTGTTTGTCTGAACTCATCTTACCACCAGCTAAATCATTGCTTTCTAGCTTTGTTTTTCCTCTGTAATTCACTTGGTGACTGCTCGAGGCTCATCGGCCTCCCCCTGTACGTGCACAAACGGGAGGAGTGCTGTGAAGGATGCTCGAACCTTTGTTTTTCTAACAAAGCCCTCCATTTGAGTCAGTTCAAACACAGCGCTCAGACCTTCTGCCCTGGGAACCCTGCTCAGAGTAACCCTCATTCCAGTACTTCTGTATTTTACTCCTGAATTACTCTAAACACTTTCTACATCATTTATAAGAAATATATATATATATATATGTAAGGAGAGTGGTTATAAAATCCATGGGACGTTTTGAGTTTACTGCTAAAGTAGAACATTTATAGAGAAAGATTCTTCATAAGAGTGTGTTGTATAATGTGCAGCTGCAGGATTTGTGCAGCAGTTGTCATTTACCAATGTACTTTACTGTGTGTCAAAGCTATTTAAGCAGTCATCTTTACTTTTACTCTTTAACCTTAAACTTACTATGTGCCTAATAAGGAAACTCCCCTAATCTTGAGCTATGCACCCTGTTTATATGGATAGGCGTTATTCCTCTTGGAAGGTGCTTCCCTTAACACTCCTCATGCCTGGAAATCACAGCCTGGTTTTCCTGGGCAGCTCAGCTCAGAGGGAAAGTTAGGATCAATGTTAATTTCTTCCACTCAAACCATTGTGTGATCAGGCAGGACAATAGCTGAACAGAGGCTTACTGGCTCTGTTGTCATGGAAAAACAGTTGGACCCAGTTCCATCCATCCAACAGGTAACGGGCTAAAAGAAAGCAAATCTTTTCCATTAAGCCCCACATAGTGTCTTTATGAGAGTGTATGAGAGCACTGGCTGGCTGTTAGTTGTGAGGGTGTGCGTTTTCATCTAGTTATCCATGTTACAGGGCTTTTCCAATGCTTTCTCCCTTAAAGGCTTGTCTTCAAGCTGTCAGCAGATTCCTTCTTTGAGGTACAGAGCAGCCTCGTGCCTCAGCTGTTACAGCCTGTGTGAGGGCAGCCCTTGCTGCATTCTAAGATGAGGTTCTCTAACTTGCATATCCCAGTAGAGCAGGGGCTGTTTCTTGTTCATTTTCCTTTCTCAGTACATGCTCAGGTGTTAAACTCTTTTCATACGGCCTTTCATTTGGATGTACTGCAAATCAGTGTTACTGGAGGCTGGAGAAAGATCCTCACACAGATCTCACGGGTACCCTCCGGAACAGGCTGCTTGTCAAAGAGGCAGAGTTGTGTGTGCTCCTTAGGAGTCTGCTGAAAGCTGAGCATTCATGTTCAAGGCTGTGCCTCCAGGTGGATGTCTTAAAGAGTCAAATATAGGAGGGGTCATGTCTTGTTCTCAAGGATGGACGAGGACCCCAACCTGTTGTTACATGCAAGGAGACAACTCCGGCTCACTCTGACCACGGTCCAACCACGGAGCGAATGATGGGCAGGACGTTGGTGTTTTGCTGGTGAGGGGAGCTCTGGTGCACTGATTGCACGAGGGAGCAGCACTGTTTGGTTTACTGTTAGTTTTACTTCTCAAGGCTGCTGCTGTGCAGGCCGGGATAAAAGCACATCCGATGATCCTGGCTGTGCAAAGAGCCTTTTCCAGTCGGTCGTTCTCTCCCGATCTCATGCTGCAGCCAGCAAGATCTATGCAAATGATTTTAACTGCCCTGGCTCATCAGAGATCGATCCTTTTGTCCTAGCGTTAGGAAATTAGGTTATGTAGAGCAATGATGAAAGAGGAAAACCCTTCAAGTCCATGGGCATTGTGGAGAAATTCCCAGCTTTTTCTGATGAAGACATTCAGAATGTATGTAACAATATTTTAATGACGATGATTATTATATTACATTGACTTTATGTTGTGACAGACATCCCTTTTCCTTTTAGTTACTTGTTCTTTAGAGCGCTTAACACCATAATCTCCCCAATGGGACTCAGTCATACTTTTTCCTCTAGTACTTGGTTTTCCCTTTAGTTGAGACAGTGTGGTATGTAGAGTAGTTCTGATCTTGTTTTTATTTAACAACTTACAAATACAAGGTGATGCTAATCTCGATCCAGTCCCAAGACTTACATCTTGTAGGCTAAAAGAAGTGAAAGAAAACCCCTTCAGAACTGACCGGAACTGTTCGGTTAAGCATCTTGCAGTTGGTTTATACATTTATCTGTAAAAGGTTGGTATTAATGGGAAAAAGCTATCCATTGTTTTTATCATTTAACCATTTACCATCATGTATGTTGTCTGCTTTCTAATTTAAAACGTGTTGTGTGGGGCTCTGAGCTCTGTAGGCTTCATGTCTGGCTATGGTGGATGCCCCAGGGTGGAGCTGGAGAGGTTGGCTCAGAGCCTTGGCGACCTGCAGCATCCCTGCCTTTTGCCATCCGAATGTGGGCGTTGTTGGTTGGTTTCGGGGTGGGTTTTTTTTTGACTTTCATTTCTTTCCCCTCACTTTGTACGTTGTTTTCTGTTATTAAATGTCACGTGCATTTTGAGTTCTTGTGGTGTCGTTTATTTAGTGGCGCATTTCCTGTGGGTCTCTGTTGAAAGGACAGCGTGGCGCGGTTGGAAGTGTCACCAGGCACAGGATGTCTTGTGACTCTTGGGAGCATTCCAAACTGAAATCAGCTAGCTCATTAACAATTAGTTAATCATGCAGCGTGCGGAAAGGCGCCTCATCTGGAACTGGGGGGAGATGTGATGCTATTCATTCAAATGCCATCCCTAATTGAGCAAAAGGAGCCTTCCAGCTCATTGGCACGACTCCTGTGGGATCCGGTGGCTGGGTAGATGGGAGATCTGGGTACCTTAGATGTACCAGCAGGTTGGCTGATGTGATGCTGCCCAAAGAGGTGGTTTAAGGGTGGGGTGAAAGGGGAGCGAGGTGGAGGGTGTCCCAGTGGTACTTCCAAAGCTGGATGCTTTTTCCACATAGTACACTTAGGTTAAAGCCAAAACTAAGCCCAGCTTTAGGCTGGGGCTCCTTTTCAGAGTGCTGCTGCTGAAGCTTTACCCTTAGGCCTGTCCCTGGAGTCTGTTCTGTGTTATCGCTACATATAAAGTTATTCTGGGGTAATTTAGGGTCTCTCTGGGTTTTATTTGTTACTGGACTGAGATCAATGCCGCAGTCAGACCAAGCCAACAAGTGGAGCTGGCTGATGCAGTGTTTGCTGAAGGGCTGCTGCTGATGGAGTGTTTCGTGCAGCCCCAGTTCCAAGCACAAAAGCAAGTCAGTGATCTTGGCTGGATCCTGGCTGGATCCTGGCTGCTTCCAAGATCATCTTAGGAATGTGCAGGTGGACTGTGCTGTTGCTGCAGGAATTGGTTGGTGTGAGAGACCTCTGCTGCCTGCTTTTAATACACAGCTTGCTTTAAAAGCATTGGGCAGTTCTGTGTGTCCTGTGTGCTGCCTGTTGGAATCCCACCTTTGCACCGGGCCAGGCTCTGGTACTGAGGTGACCAGAAGTGGTGGCTGGAGCTGGTGGGACATTGCCTGTAGCCATCACCGACCCAGTGAATCAGTTGGGGAATTAAGGTGGCAGAGATGAGTCATTTTAAAGCTGGGCCACCTGGTGATGCAGGATGATGGGCACTGGCAAGTGATCTTCCATAGGAGCAATGTTAAGGTTATTCATTAATATCCATGCAAAGCCCCTAGAGATGCTTACAACAGAGTGAGGAATGCAGAGGGTGTTAAACTCAGCAGCGAGGTAGGTCCTGACCATGTTTTGCAGCTCCAGAGCTGAAGCCCAGTGACTGAGGCCCCAGGACGGTGCTATCCCTTCAGGAGACAGCCCAAATCCCATCCTGGTCCTCTTGTCCTTGGCTGTTCTATAGGACAAGCACAAAGCCACTGGCCCAGGCTGTGTGTGCTGGCCAGGCTGGGACAGCTCTGTCCTTCTCCCACCCCATCACAGCCCACAGCTCCTCAGATGTCTGCTCCAGCAGCCATTCCTCATTCCAGCTTCCAGTCCATCCTCTGGTTACTGGCTCCAGACAAGGTCTTGGCAGCTATGAGAGCTCCTCTGGGTCATGATGGTTTAAATTCAGACGCCTGCACCCAGCCCCACACGTTAGATCCGTACCTTGACCCTTCATGCTGTCTTAATGTGAGTAACTGAAGCTCAAACACTGATTCTCTTCTTGTTCTTTCTGTAGCTTTTTTAGTCTGCCCAGTGCGTGCTCCATTGCATCGGGAAGATATGTTAATTAGAAGATTTATTAAGGCCAAAACATCTCATGCAGAAGAAATTAATTGGTGCTTTCACCTCTAAGCTTGCACTGTATTGCACTGAAGAGATTTTATAGCAAGGACTAAGATGCACCGTGCCTTCTGATTGGGAACAGTTTGCTCCATCAGGTTTCTTGATAAAGTTGAAATCTAAGATAACTTGCCCAAAGATAAACCTGCTAATGGAGCCTGCTGCATGGCTTGCACTAAACCCACAGCTCCGATCTCCGGGTGAGGGCACAGAGCACTTAACACTGACCCAGCTTCCATGGGGACGGGGGACAAAGCGGGATAGTGCGAGGGGAGCATTCGGCTTTGCTGCTGCTGCAGTGGGGGTTCTGTGTGTCCTCCCTCGCTCTGGTTTGGGGATGGACCTGGGGAACCTCCTAACATCCCTTCCCGCTGCATTCTCATGTTTCTTGGCAATAACTCTTCCGTGTAGCTTTTCTCCTTGGACTCACAGGTTTCTAACCAAACCAGCCTTTGTTGTAGGGCTGCAGAGCTGTGCCTCACACCTTAACCCTGCCCACCTCCCACCGCTGCTTCGGGATGGGTAACACCGGTGGGGTGCGGTGGGTGAGGAGGGAGCTGTTTCAAAGGACAGCTAAAGGTTTTGTGTTAACGGAGGCGGAAATGGTTTAAAGCTGGAGAGCGGGTGTTCCTGGCTGCGAGCTGTGTTTGTAACAGACTGACTTCCCCTTACACACATACCTGTTTAAAAAGCCCAACAGGTTAAACCGAAGCGTGACGTCTGTGCCCCAGTCTGACTCCACACAGAGCAGGGAGAGGCCCCAGTTCCTCTTTGTCTTAAACCAAACCTTGTAAATGAATCTCAGGAACGACCTGCTTGTACCAAAGTTGGGTTTAATAAAACCAAAACTGACTTATTTAACAAATACCTGTTAAAACCATGTTTTGTGCATCAGTTACAGTCCCTGCCACGGCAGAGTGCTGTGGCCGAATTCAGCACCCTCAAAGTTACTCCAGATTCCCTCTGTTGTAACCCCCTTGCCCTGTGTATCTGGGGTTGCAGTGTGATGTCCCCTGTGCAGCCCCACACATCTGGGGCCAGCAGCCTCTTTCCCCTTCTCCAGCTGCTCCGGCCTTGGACCAGCAGAAAACCAGTCCTTGGTAGGATGCTTGAGGGCAGCTTGCACCCTGTGTGGGACAGGGTGACAGAAGCAGGATGGGGTGACTGGAGCGGGCTGCACCAGGACCCCCACAGGGTTCCCCCCTGAGCAGGCTGTGCTGTCACCACCCAGGAGCGAGTTGGGATGGAGAGGATGGTGTCGAGGCACTGGCAGCCACAGGCACTGAGCTCTTGTCCCCTGGGTGCGTTGCACGTGGCAGTCACCGAAACCTCTGGATGCCCTTGACATAGACTAGAACTGGGAGATATATCTCAGCATCAAACAAGTACGTGGGGTGAAATAACCAAACTGGGCCCATGGGGATGTTCTGGAGACTCCCACCCCTTGCAGGCAGCAGGGACTGAACCCTGTGACGAGCACATTCACCCCACATCACTCATCCCTGCAGTGCGTGAGGAAGGCTGCAGTGGCAGCAGGACCAGGGGAGAAGCAGGCAGGGCCTGGCCGGACTGGGTCTGAGGAGCCGTGGGTTCTGAGCTGGAATTCCAAAGACGTTTTGTATTGTGTGGTAAACCTGACTGGCTCTGACAATCCCTGAGCAGCACGCGCTGGTTGGTGAGGGCCCGAGGTAACGGTGCTTGGGGCCAAGTAACTATTCCCACACCTTGTAGGCACTGGGACTGGGTCCTTAATGGCTTCACCAGGAAGGGGCACAGACTTCAGAGCCCTGCATTCCAGGGGAAGCCTGAAGGAAAAGGGGAGGTTTGATTCGCAGCCTTCTCGCTGCTGAATGAAAACCTTGCTTCCACCTGAGAACTGCTCTCAGAGCAGCACTGGGAGCTCCCGCTTCCTCGAAAGCAGCTCCTGTGGCTCTCCCATGGGGCAAGTGGGATTAGCTCTAATAAGAGGACAATGCAGTGAGCTGGATGAAAGGCTCAGCCTGTCACACTTCATCACAGCTGCTTCCAAAACAGTCTCAGGTTCCTTTGAGTCTCTCTGGTGCAGTTCTCAGCCTTCTGCCAACTTGGTCCCTGAGGTGCAGGATCGTGACCAAGTCCTTCCCCCAGCTCTCTGAATTTACGTGATGTTAAAACCAAGAGGCAGCACACACTGCTCAGGAAGGACATAAGAAATAGGGAGATAATACCAATGTGTCATTAGCCTCTGAGAAACAGCAGCGCTTCCACTGTGTTGCGTTGTCTGCTCTGTTCTCTGGGACAGGTTCTGCTGTTGCTGCTTCCAAGGCAGTAACTTCCCACTGGTCCCTCTCGGGGGAGGATGTAGGGAGCTTTCTCCCAGCCCTCTGCTGAGGCACCAGCCACCCGTGTGCACCCACCCATCACTCGCTCCCACATCCTCACTGTGCAGGGGCCTGAATCCACCGCAGCATCCATCGGTCCCCGTGGTGTCATCAGCAATTTGGGCTGTAGGAGGTGTGCAAGGGGCTAAACCCAGGTGGTTTACAGCAACCCTCAGCCGTGCTTGATGGGCATTCTTCAGTCCGGAAGGGTTGTGGTACAGTGGCCTTGCCTTGGGATGGCCCTGGGTGGCTTGGCTGATGGGGTAGACAATGCAAACAGTGTTGGGTGGCTGCAGGCACATGAGCTCTTGATCCACACGCTTTCTTCAGCTGAACTCAGTGCTGTTAACCTGTAAGGAAAGATGCAGACCTTGTGGAAGTTCAGCTGTCTCCTGGCTGCTGCTCCTGTAACTCTGTAGTTATGGGGTTATGGGGAGGGTAGCGACAGGCTGCATTGATGCCTCATGTCAGCAACATGCATATTGGCCCTGCTGCAGACCACGTCACCAGGAGCTCCTGAAGCACTGCACAGAAGGTGGGTAAGCTCTGCCTCCTTTTAGGAGGTGCCGTTGGTCAGGAGGGCAGCAGGAGGCTGGGTTACGCCAGGCAAATGCAAGACCACAAATGGGTGGATATAAACCCAACAGCCGCGGTGTTCAGCCTTCGAGGTACAGTGCCTCAGCAGGCATGTGTCTGATGAAGCTGGAGAACAGCTTTAAAAGACCAAAGCCCAGGGTTTGCCTCTAATGTGGGTCATCAGAAGCCAAACTGATTGTATTGTGAAAGCTGTGTAACTGTACTGAAGAGGTTTCCACAGTGCTCAGTGGGAGGCTGGGACATGGTGGGCAGCTTTATAGGTGCTCTCAGACACTCCCACTGCAGGAGGATGGGAGTCAGGGGCTACCTGCGGCCAAACAGTTTGGAAGCCTCCCTTCCCTACCCAAGAGAGGGCTCTCTCCCATTCCCACCCCTTAACTGCGGTTTCATTCCACCTTTTGTTAGCACTGGTGAGGTCTGCAGCAACAGAACATGCACACGTGATGCTCAGGAGGCTGTTAAAGTGCAATGTTGGTTGTAAATACACCTGTGCTTTATTAATCAGTGTCCCAGCCTCAAGTTCCATGTCCAAAGGCCATTTTGATTCCTACCTGTGCTTTCTTTAGCAGAGCAGTAATAACAGGAAGCCAATCAGGAGCCTGCCTCTCCAGCTCCAAGGTGATGATCACCAAGGCCAATGTGGAGCCCTTAAACTGCAATAGCTGGTGGCACGCCATACAGTGCTGTAGCTGTCTGGTCAAGAGCGCGACGTGGAGGGAAGGATTTCTCTGAGGCAGCCCCTGTAGTAGCTGGGGCCAGTTGGACATCACCATGGCATGGAACTGGAGAGAAGAGAAAGTATATATATTACCCCTCCCCGAGGTCAGTGGACTTTGTATGTTTTCCTATGTTATCAATCAGAAGTACAGACTAATTTCATTTCACATCAGGAAACCTAAAGGGTTCCCCCCCACACCTTACTTTTTTTGGGTGTTTTGTGTTTGTACTTGCCAACCATTGAACTGGGTTTGTTTTTTTTTTTGAGCTTAAAATGAATGTACAAGGTCTGTGTTTCCTAACGATTTCTGAAGTGTCTGCGTTCTCCAGATTGCTATCCAGAAGATTAAATTCAGGCCAGCAGATATGAATAGAAGCAGATATAGGACCTATAACAGCGACTGCACTCTGAATTTACCAAGGAAACAAGCACCTAAAAAGGCAGTTTTCACAATCAGCAGCCTAAGATGGCTTAATATTTGCACATAACCTTAAGAAAAGGGATCCAGGATGTGTTTGTATCACATAATTTTTGCCTTACTTGCACATGATCGTTTCTTGAAGACAAAATTTAATTGTTTCTATCAAATGTTTAGTACCTGCAATGTGAACTAAGTGCCAGATTGGGGTAGTCTCATTGCCTGAACCAGGGGTGGATCATTAGCAGGATGAAAAGGAAAATGGTTTAAGAAAAACCTGTGTGTGAAATGTAGCAAAACTCTGACAGCTTTCTATGTACAGTATTAATAGAGGGAAATAGGTAGAAATATTTTTGCAGTGTGTATTTAAGAAAATAAAAATGGCATATAGTGGTGCATACGAGAATCTTTTTAATGTCTGTTTTAGTTGTCCTTTAAAGAAGGAAGAAGTTCTTTGTAAGGGAGAAGTTCTTCCCTGTGAGGGTGGTGAGGCACTGGAACAGATTGCCCAAAGAAGTGGTAAATGCCCCATCCCTGGCAGTGCTCAAGGCCAGGCTGGACTTGGGCAACATGGTCTAGTGTTAAGGAGTCCCTGCCCATGGCAGGGGGTTGGAACTTGCTAATCTTAAGGTCTTTTCCAACCCAAACCGTTCTGTGATTCTATGAGGGGAGTCATTTTCTGAGTAGAATTAAAGGTTTTAAATAGTAGAAACTTTTAAATATGAATTAATAAACCTCAGTGTACCATTCTTCAAAAGGCTTGCAGATAGCTAACGACAGGGAGCTTGCAGAGCACCTTGGGGTGGATGTGTGGGGTGTGTATGTGTGTGCCTCTGTGTTTTCTAGTCTTCTTTGATAAGGAGCTGTTTCTTTGGAGAAAACCAATTTGCAAACCTTAGTGCTTACAATGTGTAAGAAATCCATTGGTGTTGCTGTGTAAAGGTCCCAGTGAAGCTTACCTAGTACAACTCTTCCCATTCGCAAGATCTCAGCTGGAGAGCGTTTGCAAGCACTCTGCATCGCAAGCATCTTCACCGATGGTATTACCTGTAAAAAGAAGTCATTGCAAATAATAAAGAAGCCAGTGTCCTACACCTGTGTGTTTCTCTGTATCTTGACAAATTTATACACCCCCAGAGTGCTAAGCTCATGCAGCATTTCCTACGTAACTCCTGTCCTAAATGAGGGCCACTGATGCTCGCCATGAACCATGCCCCTCACCCCACAGGTGATGGCTTACCCCACGAGCTCCCTCAACACTGCATCAGTGAGGCACGGTCCCTGCTACCAGTGTCACAGGGTTTGCTCCTCTGACAAGCCAGGAGGAGGCTTCCTGCTGGCCTGTTCCATGGGCCCTTGGTGCTTGTCTTGTTTCCTGTGGTCATTGATGCAGCTGCTTCTTAGGTGAGAGGAAGAGCAGCCTCAGCAAGACACGTGCTAAGAAAGGCTCTGAGGAGCACTTCACCTGGGCGGTGTTTGAAGACACCCATGTTTGACACTAACCCCCGGGTTTGCTGTTCTTTGTCGAAACAGAATGAACAGGAAGGCAGTGTGGAATGCTTGTGGCTAGTGGTTGTAACTGAAGGAGCCTATCGGTGCACTTCTGCCGTGAGAGGTTAGCCTGTGTAATCTCACACTCACAGGGCTAGGTGCTGATTTTACGTGCTCACCTCGAGGCGCAGACCTGAGTCATTTCCTCCCTAGGTTCAGAAACTAGTTTTGACTCCGAGCAAACTCATCTATTTCGAGCTTCCTCTGAAGAACCTCTGTTCTGTTGTGCCTGCCTTCCCTGCCAGGACCTAGAGCAACAGAATTACAGCACTCTGATGTTGTGCACACAAAGCCGTGCATCTGCATCCTGACTGTTCCCCCCAGACTAAGCCTTACTGTGAGCTGTGCATTCTGAAGAGAGGGGAGAGTTTTAAGGGCAGGAGGAGGGAAACACATCCATTATAAAAGCAAACACAAGTCCTTCATCCCTAAAGGTCACAATTCTTCCAAACAGGGATGAAACAGGCCTGAAAATGTTACTGCCAGCCCTTAAGGACTACTTGGGGTAAACAACACTTCATTATGCCCAAGGTGTTGAAAGACCTGGAAACATGAACACATTGAACACAGGAGATGAGGTTAGTGTGCTTAAAACTGAACATACAGACCTCATCGTCTTCACTGGTTTTTGCTGCAAGGATAAGGCAGGAAATTGCAATGCACTGAAGATACTTTAATTGGGCGTGAAGGGAGAAGAAGAAAACACTGACTAAGGAAGGTGACAGCGCTGGGGGAAGTGATTGCCATGCTACAATAGATGCGCAGGTTTCGAACCTTCATTTCAGTTACAGTTGCTTCTGACTTAGTTTAGCTGCAGAAAGCTTCATTGGAAGCCGGAGACAGAGCAAAGGAATCCAAGGTGAAACAAAACAAGTCCTCTTCTTGCTGCAAGCTTTATTCATGTATCTCACTATGCAGTGCCACAGTACTTACAATGCAGTGTTGCTCCTCAGCTGAGATACTAATTAATATGCTATTAATCTTGAGTATTGATCTGAATAGAACTGGGAGCTGCAAGGCTCAGCTCAACTCCTAACTTTGCTGTTGTTTCAGTGGCAGGAAAAGTTGGCCTCATTGGTTAAAAACAGTGGTTTCCAAACTAAAACACTGAAAGCGATGATGCAAATGTTTTCTGTTGAGCAGAGGCAGGCAGAGGAGGGTTCTTTGTGCCTAGCCCAGCGTTTGGACTGCAGTTCACACAAACACTCCTACCGAGGACTACACATCAGTGAAACCTCATTAAACACTCAGTTCATATATAAATATATATGCTTCAAAGCCTGCCCAGCAAAGCCCCTGCCTGCTCCCTAAATCTGCTGCCAGACATAGTGCCTGCTTTGTGTATAAACTGATTACGTGCTCCTTACATCCCAGTCAGTAACCTAGTGGGGAAAAGGGGACCGGGATTCTCTGCATTTACTGATGCCAGGAACCCGTTAAAGATGCTGGTAGCCAAGGCAAAGGTTTTGGGGTAGAAGTGGAACTGAGAGCTCATTTCTACAATCCACAGAACTGCTCTCCTGTGCCGTGCCAGAGATATCTGTGCCCTGAGGGGAAGAAGAAGTCAGCAGGAAAACACAGTTAGGGCTTTGATGATTTTGTTAACAAATCTCCAAAGGAAGGCTCAGCTCATTCCAGGCACTCTAATTACCAGTTCGGATGTCTGCAGGCTTGGAATGGAGAAAGCTGTTGGCTGTGTCTACAGAGTGAGGGCAAGGGCAAGGTTTGGAGCAGCTCAGCACACTCGGTGGTGTTGCCCACCCAGTCAGGCTCTACCTGTGCTCACGGGGGCTTGGTGCTGGGCTGTACAGGAGCACTGAATGGGGAAGCACCCAGCCCTCCCCCTGCACAGTGCATGTGAGCCCCAGACTGAGCTCTTGCAGACAAGGTGCTGAGCTTGCTTGTTGTTTCCCCCTCCAGAAGCCTCCTGGAGTCAGGAGCAGGTTTTGATTTAACAGCCCTTCAATTTCCTCCAAGCACAATTAATGACGTGCTGTATTTATGTATTTACCATTGATTTGCTGTCCTTACCTGCCCACCACATCTCCCAAACCTACTTGAGTCAAACCGAAACATAAAGCACCTGGTTTATACAGAGCATTAAAAAGACGTACAGCAGGGCAAGCACAGACCCTTCTCCCCTCCATTCCTTAAGCTTAGGCCATGGAGGATGACTTTTGCTTTCAGGTGGATGGGATGGCAGGGCCAGCACTGCATCCCTGCGGTCCCTTAGGGACTTCCAAACGGACAGGGAGACACCTTCAGGGTGAGCGGCTCTGGCTCTCTGGAGGTCCAGGGCGCTTCACAGCAGCTCCCTGAGCCAGCTTCCCTGGTGGGAGACGCTGCCAAACCAAGAGAATGAAAAAGCAATGCCAGTCCTCGTACTCAGAGTGATTTCCTCTCACGGTGCCCTTTCAGCGCTGGGGGCTAGGTCAGGAGCGGCCACAGACGTGTTCGCTGCGCACAGAGCGATCCTGTCCCCCGTTTCCCCCAAGGGGCAGCTCATCATGAAAGCCGTCCCATTGCTACGCGCCGTGCAGCCCAGCTTTCCCCTCCCGCTCTGTCCGAAGTCTTGCTTGAGTAACCCTGGGGCAAGCAGTGCCTGTTGCTGGTTTATCTCGTTCCGCACGCTCAGCTCTCCGTTTGCAGAGCTGTTAAACTGCAATTTGTTATCCCCTCAGTGCCAGTTTCTGGCAAGCAGGGGTCTATTGTTTCTGCACAACAGCTCAGAGATGAATGTTCTTTGGAGGTTTATTAATTCCTATTAACAGTTCTCCTTAAAGCAGTTCAATCTTTCTATCAAAGGCATACAACAGCATCGGAAATGGCACTGTCCGGGCTGGGCAGGTGTTTGTATGAAATAACCATCTCCAAATAATACCCTGTAAGAGAGACCATCTCAGCCTGAAAGGGATCTTTTCAGTGCTCATGTTGTGGTGTCTGTGACAGCAGAAAGAAGACATTATAGCTATAAAATGTCTGCTGCTCTCTGTAAGCAGGGATGGATGTGGGCTCCACATCAGTGCTTTCTGGAGGCTATTATCTCCATTATCTCCATTAAAAACCCCGGCGCTGCATGAACCCTCTGGAAACGGCTCTAAAGCTGAAGCTCTGGGATGTGTGTGCTCCCTGGAAGCAGGAACCGAGCGTGACTTTGGCTTGTGCTGCCGCCGGATGTCGCAGCATCCAACCCCGACTTCCCAGGACATTTGAGCGAAGGGAGAGCCGGAAAGGATTCATCTGCTCAGTTTGGTGCGTTGCAAAGCGGCACTGGAGCCCCGTCAGAGCCATTGGAGCCCCGTCAGAGCCACTGGAGCCCCGTAAGAGCCACTGGAGCCCCGTAAGAGCCACTGGAGCCCCGTCAGCCCCACGGGCTCCAGCCGCTGCCGGAACCCCGCTGCCGACACCGCCCGTCCCCGCCCCGAGCGCCGCCATGGCGCCGCAGTGCCTCCAGCCCCGCCCCTCGCCCTCCGCCGTTCCCATGGCGACGCCCCGCCCACCCCCGCCGCTCCGCCCCGGTCATTGGTTGCGTTCTGCCACCAATGGCCGCGAGGGGCAGGCCGGGCCCCTCCTCTCCTCGCCAGGCATTGGCTGCGCGGCCTCCGCAGCGCGCGGGGATTGGCTGCGGGCCGCGGCGGCGCGGGGCGGGCGCAGGCGCGGTGCTGTTATTGTCCCGTTGTGCCGCTCGGCGGGTGCCTGCGCCCGGTGCCGCCGCCGCTGCCGCCGCCATGCCGGTGAGCTCCGGGGCTGCGGGAGGGGAGGGAGCCGCTGTCCGGTGCCGCCCGTCGCTGCGTTCCTCGGCCCGTGGCTGACGGGAGCCGTGCGGTTCGCAGGCCCCCACCGATGCCGTGCGCCGTCCTGTCCGGCTGGGTGGGGCGAGGGGTGCGGGCGGGGCGAGCCCCCGGCTGAGGCAGCGAGGGGCGGTGGCTGGCCCGGCTCCAGCTCCCCGCGGCGGGGCGGGTGAGCCGGGTGGGGAGCGGAGGCTGCGGGGACTGAGCGGTGGCGGGCGGCCCGTCCTGACACCCCCATCCCGGGGGTTCTGCAGGGCGGAGGTGGAGCAGGGGTGCAGCAGGATCCCGCCTCCGCCAGGCTGAGGCAAAGCAGCCCCTGCTTCCAGCGCAGCAACAGAAGCGTTCCTGGCCTCTGCCAAGGCCTGGGAGGAGTCCAGGCAGATGGCAGCTGGTGGGAGAGGCGCTTGGAAACACGGTTTGTTTCCTGTGGGCACCCAAGCTGGTTGCTCTGGAAGGAGTTAGGGACTCAACCACAGCATCTATTGCCAGTAGTGTCTTAGACTTTGCTAGATCAGATGGGGTTTGGGTTTATTTAATCGGGAGAATCATAGAATCATAGAATAGTTAGGGTTGGAAAGCACCTTAAGATCATCCAGTTCCAACCCCCCTGCCATGGGCAGGGACACCTCACACTAAACCATCTCACCCAAGGCCTTGCCCAACCTGGCCTTGAGCACTGCCAGGGATGGAGCATTCACAACCTCCCTGGGCAACCCATTCCAGTGCCTCACCACCCGAACAGGAAAGAATTTCCTCCCTATATCCAACCTAAACTTCCCCTGTTTCAGTTTGAACCCGTTACCCCTTGTCCTATCACTACAGTCCCTAATGAAGAGTCCCTCCCCAGCATCCCTATAGACCCCCTTCAGATACTGGAAGGCTGCTCTGAGGTCTCCATGCAGCCTTCTCTTCATGCTGAACAGCCCCAACTTTCTCAGCCCGTTTTCATACGGGAGGTGCTCCAGTCCCCTGATTATGTGACACCCTTACTGCGAGGGTGCTGAGGTGCTGGCACAGGGTGCCCAGAGAAGCTGTGGCTGCCCCATCCCTGGCAGTGCTCAAGGCCCGGTTGGACACAGGGGCTTGGAGCAAGCTGCTCTAGTGGAAGGGGTCCCTGCCCGTGGCAGGGGTTGGAGCTGGAGGAGCTTTAAGGTCCCTTCAACCCAAACAATTCTTGGGTGAAATTACTCAGTGGTGCTTCAAAATTTGTAACTGCTTCATGAAAGCAAAGGTTTGTGCACAGATTCAGCAGGTACACTGAAGCTTGTCACTTAAATGAATTCCCTTCTGGCGGTGCTTGCTGGTGCCTGCTCATGCCATCTGTAAGGTTTGGGACTTGTGTGCTCCAGTGAGAGAGCACAGTGAGTGTTAATGTCAGAGAACGGCATGGCTGCGCTTAACTTCCAGCAAACTGTTTGTCCATTGTTTGCAAGCATGAAATTGTTCCTTGAAGAAAATCTTAAGTTATCCTGAATGTGAAATTCTAAAGTTTTACTCAATCATTTTCCGTGTGAGGAAGCAGAAGAAGATTGCACTAAGTGTACATTGTTCTCTCAGCTTTAATTATAAACCAGTTCTGGTTTTAAGTCCCCAGGTTCATGATCCTAAGGAGATGTATGCATCTAATGAGGCACGAACGCTGCTGAATCACACAGGTATGTTAACAGCAGTGTTACAGCCTGTGTATTTCCTTTTCTCTTTTAATAATTACAGATCAACAAGCCTGAGAAGCTGGACAAGCCAGAGAGCTGCGATAATGTCAAGGTCGTGGTTCGGTGCCGGCCTCTTAATGAACGAGAGAAAGCCACAGGCTACAAAATGGCAGTGAATGTGGATGAAATGAGAGGAACTATAACTGTTCATAAAACAGACTCATCCAATGAGCCTCCCAAGACATTTACATTTGACACGGTGTTTGGACCAGAGAGTAAACAGCTGGATGTCTATAATTTAACTGCAAGACCTATAATTGACTTTGTCCTAGAAGGATATAATGGTAAGTCCCTTGTTGTCAAGGATCCCGCCTGCTGTTCTCTGCATTGTTAGAGTGTCTGCTGATCTTCTTTAATGGAGTTTCACCTCCTGAGGGCTATAGCCCTGCGTTGTTTCTGTTGTTGCCTCTAACTTAAAATAGCCTGAAGGTACTTGCTGTTCTGAGTACTCAGCTGTTGTGCCTCCTATGATCATTTAACAGTGGGAGTTCGATGATGACCAAGACTCAGCTGATGTCAGGTAGCTCTGTGGTTTTATTCTGTGTCTTGTTTGCAAAGGATCTGCACTTTATCTCATTACCAGAATTCTCAGCGGTTCTTCACTGTACAGTTTCAGCCCCCAGGCAGCTGCCAGGGTCCTGCAGTGACTAGGTATGCGTACCAGGCTTATGCATATAACTGCTACCTCTTCTCCTCTGAACTTTGCTGTTTTAAGCTAAGATGACTAGTAAAACACATTTGCTCTACGCACAGATACTCTTTTGCTTCCTAGTGCTGGGAAGAATATGCGTGTGTGTCCTTATGCATGTAAATGTAGTATGTAAAGGAAAGCAAATGCTAGTAAGGAAGCAAATTACTGCTTTCCATAACAGTATGCTATAAACAACAACACATTACAAAGTTCTTAAAGGTCTGTGAAGTGCCTAATAAGCTCTTGTGCTAACACACCTGGGTTTCAGCTGATGAAAATTCATGGCTCAAAATTTCATGGTTCAAAGCTGCACCAGGGGAGGTTTACACTAGACATCAGGAAGTATTTCTTTATGAGAGGGTGGTTAAACACTGGCACCGTCTTCTTAGAGGTGGTTGATGCCCCAAACCTGTCAGTATTTAAGAGGCTTTTGGACAATGGCCTTAAAAACATGCTTTAACTTCTGGTCAGCTCTGAACTGGTCAAGCAGTTGGACTGGAGATGTGTTGTAGGTCTCTTCCAACTGAAGTAATCCATGCAGCTTTGCTGAGCTGCAGCATGAGTAGCTTGACAATGAAAACTGGAGTTTTCAGCAGGGCTAGGCTGAACGTAAGATCCAGTGTATTTCTGCAGAGTCTGGGATCTCAGGAAGGTTTCAGTCTGTCTCTCTAGTCCAAATTATGGTAGGTTTAGAACTGGGCTTGAGCTGTGGCCTTTGCTGTAAAAGCCTTGTGCTATTTCTGCTGTGGCTAAGATGCTAGCAATGGTTGGGTTTGCAGTTGGTATATAATGGTTTTCCTCTAATTGACCATGTTATTAATTGGGCTTGCCTTAATTACTTGTGTGCGAGACCTAAGAGTGCTTGCACTCCATGCTTTAATAACTTTGCAGAGTTAAACCAAGCTGGCTTTTTCTTGGGTGTCTTGCAGGCTCTATAGGCCAGTGTCTCAGCCCTGTTTGTGGTGGTTGCCCAGCACTTGTTTTGTTGCTGGCCTTGTACGGCATCTACTGGAGTTGGTGGAAAACTTCAGCTCTGTAACAACAGAGGTTTTAGTGTTATCAGGCTAAGAAGGAATGGAGTAAAACTGAAGTTAGCAACTTCTTAGAGTTTGTTTGTATATCTTCTTATCCTTCAGGTACTATTTTTGCATATGGGCAGACTGGAACAGGCAAAACCTTCACCATGGAAGGGGTCCGAGCAGTTCCTGAGCTTCGAGGCATCATTCCCAATTCCTTTGCCCATATATTTGGTCACATTGCCAAGGCAGAGGGGGACACAAGGTAAGCAGCTTCTCTTCACTGCTTCAGTCTTGAGTGTCTGTCTATAGCAGGAGCCTGACCTTAACAATGGCAACTGAAATGGTATCTCTGACCCTAACTGAAAGACTGCTGCTGAGGCAGTTCTCAATGGGGAAGTAGGGTTGTGGTTTATATCACCGCATTATCTTTGCACTCTGTGATTGTGGTTGTTGGACTTCAGCAGCTGTCTCACTAAGAAAGCTGCCCAACTCTTTGTCCTCAGGTTTTTAGTTCGTGTCTCTTACCTGGAAATTTACAATGAAGAAGTGAGGGACCTGCTAGGAAAAGACCAGACGCAGAGATTAGAGGTGAGCTGTAGTTCTGAGTGTGATGTCAGTTTTCAATCAGTGAGCACGATTAGCTTTTAAAAGCCACTGTACCATGGGAAACTGCTGTTGGGGATCTCCAAAGCAGGCTCATTCTAAACTGTTTCTCTCTTAGGTTAAAGAGAGACCTGATGTGGGAGTTTATATCAAAGACCTTTCAGCTTATGTCGTAAACAATGCAGATGATATGGACAGAATCATGACTCTGGGCCACAAGAACCGTACGTAGCCTTGCTGTGGGCAGGTGTATAGCTCGGTCAGAATGAAGTCTGGTTATGAGACTGCAGTAAGAGAGCCAAGTCCTAATGCTTGAAAGCTTGGTCAGCTGAGCACAGCAAAAAGGACATCTCCCCCCAGAGCTCTTTCATGCAGGGGCAGGTAAAGAAGGCTGTGACTCTCACATTGGCCAGTGGCAGTGGCAAAGGGGAGGATGCAGCGAGGGCAGTCAGTGATGTCAGGATTGCTAGTGTGTGTCCTGCTCCTTTATCCCCTTCAGTTCTGGTCAGGATGAACTATCATTGTGCTGTCAGTGGGAGGTGGTTTATGTTTTCTGGAAGATTTCTTAATTAGGCTCAGATCCTTCTACGACCTAATTTTGACTACTGTTGCTCTTGGCATGGATTGCTGTGTTCTTATTGCTCAGGGATCAGCTGTGAGTACCTTTAGGCTACTGATCTTCGTAGCCTTAAAGAAACAGATGAGAACTACTGCTGTTCTTGGGAAGGGAGTCTGTGGTGGGTGTAGAGTTACAGCAGGCTGTAACATTTCTGCTAGTCCAGATTGGAGATGTGCCCAAGAATATGGTTTGCTGCTGAGTCTGAGCATCCCTCTTATGAAAAACCAGGGTTGGGTAAAGAGGTGGAGATAAGTCTCCTTTGAGAGCAGGAAATGTTCCAGGAGCATGTGACTAATTCTGAAGGCGTTGTTGCTTTTTCCCTCTGTTGAAAGGTTCTGTTGGTGCCACAAACATGAACGAGCACAGCTCTCGCTCACACGCCATCTTCACTATCACGATCGAGTGCAGCGAGAAGGGGGTCGATGGTAACATGCACGTGCGCATGGGCAAGCTGCACCTCGTGGACCTCGCCGTGAGTAGGACCAGCTGGGTCTGCCATAATGGGTGGTGGGTATGGCTGCTCGTGTGTGCCTTGCTGAAGGTACAGGAAAGCGTTCGCAGCTAGAGCCCAACTTGTTTGATGCTCGACTTCTGTGAAGTATTCATTCGAGGCCTTAAATTAGAAGTGTACCAGGAAGAGTCTCTAATGTAGCTAAAGCCTGTCTCAGTAAAAGGGTTCTCTTGCTTCTATAAGTGAATGGGTAAGCTACCATTGAATGGGTAAGCTACATTAGAAATTGCTCTGGGCAGCAGAGCTGGGGCTTTGCAAGAGTGGGGGTTTTCTTGTAAGAGGGTTGTGAGCGTGCAGTTCATCACTTGTGGGTTCCCTCCCTCTGCCACTCACTTTGAACCAGTGTAATTGTGCTGGTACAATGCGTCTTTAGCCCCAGCTTTGTACTGGAGTATTTTTCCTTGGAGAAGATGCAGCAAGTGGAGGCTACAGGCATTCAATGTCTACATATTAACCTTATTTACATAGTGTATATTTAGGTTACTCTGGGAAACTCTCCAAAAATAATTGCAGTGTGGCTTTTCTCCCTTGATCTGCTGTTAAAGTCTGGAGGTAGTGCCTGGCAGCTCCACCTGAGGTGCCTCATAACTGCTGCCTTGCTTCTCATAATGTTTCTGTTCATGGAGACAAAATCTGCATTAATTTGAGCAATCCAGGATTTTCTGGCACTGAGGCTTCATTTAAGATCTATTTAACTTGTCTCTTTAACAATGTGTGAGGTGCTTAGCCAGGTCCTCTAATAATGGAGGAGGTGGTTAGTGACATGGCTGCTGGCAGCACTTCGGGTGTAGTTGATCCTATTTGGAGGGAAATGATCTGTTGTAACTCCTGCTTCCTGTTCCCTTTCCAGGGTTCTGAAAGACAGGCAAAAACTGGAGCCACAGGGCAGCGCCTGAAGGAAGCTACCAAGATCAACCTCTCTCTTTCCACACTGGGGAATGTTATCTCTGCACTGGTGGATGGCAAGAGCACCCACGTGCCCTACCGTAACTCCAAACTTACACGGCTCCTTCAGGATTCTCTGGGCGGCAATTCCAAAACCATGATGGTAAGCTGAGAGGTGCAAGTTGTACAGGGATAGCATAGTGACTTTGCCATGAGGACAGTGTGGCATTTACCTCTTGATTTAGAGCTGGGTTCAGCTTAGAGATCATTCTGAGCATCCTTTTCTACTTTTTGCCTCTGTACAGACGAGATTCAAACCACAGTGCAAATGTGCATGTGTTTGTAAGATCTAATAGAAGCTGTGCTTGGGTAGCCAAAAGCAGCTTTGGTGTAGGGAAGCTTAGGGAAGAGTAGCAATGTGAGGTTGGCAGGGTTGGGGATAGGTCCCTGAAATTACCTGTTCTGGGCTCTGCCCCTTTGCCCTCTGGTAACTTGGTCTTCCCTGTGTCACAGTGTGCAAACATTGGACCAGCTGACTACAACTATGATGAGACTATCAGCACTCTCAGGTATGCAAACCGAGCCAAGAACATCAAGAACAAAGCCAGGATCAATGAGGATCCTAAGGATGCTCTGCTTCGCCAGTTTCAGAAAGAAATTGAAGAGCTGAAGAGGAAACTGGAGGAAGGTGAGTTTCTCCTTCCTCCTGGTGTATCTCTTCATGGCAATGCTCATTCTGCTTGAGTGTGAACATTCTCTGCTGGTGTAAGATATGTCACAGGAGTTTGGTAGCTGGTGCAGGGCAGTATCCTGGTTCTGTTGGCCCTACTGGGTTCCTGGAGACGAAGGGTGTTGCATAGACTTGGCTAGATCAAATGGGTTTCAGGTCTGACACTACCCTCAGTGACAGGTGCTGTAGCTGAGCATGTAACTAGCATTTCCAGAGCAGCTATCTTGGGTGCCCCAAAGGCAGTGTTCAGGGCCAGGTTTGATGAGGCTTGGAGCAACCTGCTCTAGTGGAAGGCATCGCTGCCTGTGGCAGGGGTTGGAACTGGATGAGCTTTAGGGTCGCTTCCAACACAAACCAGTCTGGGATTCTGTGGTGTTAAATATTGGATTCTATTCAGTTTGGTTTCCAAATTCAGCCTGAAACATCTGAATGTTATGTCTGCAATGGCAACAGTGACAGGCATTTGTGAAATTAGATATTTTTCTCAATTAACAGCCACTGAACTTCATGTATACAAGTGTGTGATTAAGTTGCAGGTCTGTGTGAACTTTGTTCCCCTGAATGTCTTCCCTTCCATCTCGGGTATGGGAAGATCCTGCTAGAAAGACTTTGTAGCTTAACACTTTAGCAGTGCAAATATTATTTATTTCCTATAAAAAACACCCACTTGAGCTTTAACATACACACATTGACTGCTTATCTTGATTTTTCCTGAAGTTCCTGAGCTATGGCCAGCTGTCTGTGTTCAACAGTGAATGACTTCTGCAGGTGGTGTTGGACATTGCTGGGTTTGGACAGATGCTGCAGTCACACTGAAAAGCTGAATGAGGTGAAGGAAAGCACATCAAAAAGCACCTTCTTCTGTTCTAGGGGAAGAGATATCTGGTTCTGAGAGCAGTGACTCTGAAGAGGAGGATGAAGATGATGAAGGGGAGATTGGAGAGGATGGGGAGAAGCGGAAGAAACGGCGAGGTAAGGCAGTAGAGATTCCTGTCAGTGCCACCAGCCTCCTCTTGTCTAGGAGCTGGTGCCAGGAACTGTAGCTGGAGCCAGGTGGGGAAAAGTGGAGGTATAAAGCTGCCCTACTGCCGCTGCAATTATCATGCCTCTCCTAGAAACCAAGCTGTTTGGTACTGTCTCTGTTAGATGGACAGCTCTGGACCTGTATAGAATCTGCTTCCACTTGGGTAGCTGTGCTTGTGGTAACATCTCCTTTGTGGTGGCTCCTTGGTTGCCGCAAGGTGGCTGTGTATGGCTTGTGATTGGTGGTGTGGAACTTCCCCTGCTCATGGAGGTGGGAGGAAGAAGGCACCTAACATCAGTGGTAGGCAGATGTGGTTTTTATAACCAAGGGAATGGTTGGAGGGGAATTTTGGCTGTGGTTTAGGCAAAGGATTCGTCTGTCTTATGGATGTTCAGTAACTGACTCTTCTGGTGTCCTGTTTTATGTTGATAGAGGAAAAACCTGACCTTTGGGTATCTCTGCAAGCTGAAAAGCTGAATGGGAACTGCGCATCCCTTGTTTGGGAGCACTTTGGGAATCCTGTGGTGAAGTGGACTTTGTCCTGCATCAGTGCTGAACTACTGTGTGACATCTAAACCCCAGGGGATATTGCTGGACTTAGAACTGCCGGTCACTGTGTCCCATGGGATGCTGTGGCTTCCAGGGAGCTTGCTATGCCCCTAAAACCTTCACAGGGAGTAGAGAAGTCCAGTGCTACACCTCAACTTACAGCTTCTCTAGTAAACTAATTTTGACATTCAAACTGCCTTCCTGTCCTGAAGCACTTGCATCTCTTAAATGATTGCTGTTAAAGCATTCCTGCTTCAGATGCACTGACATTTTGGTGTCTGCCCAAGTGGAGTTGTAAATGCCCTTTGCTATTTTGGTGTTAATGCTTTTGGTGATAGTTGTAACAACTTGTACTTCATTTTTCACCTTTTGGTAATTTCTAGAAACAAAAAGATGGAGCACTGTCTCCATCAAGAACCAAACCCTGCCCAAATCTCCTCCCAAGAGGGGAACGCCTTCAAAATCTTGCTTGGATTAGCAGGACAAACAACTGACTTCCAAACAAGCTGCTCTAGTTAAGCTCCCTATGTAAGGGTGCTACTTAGGAGTACACACAGTAGCTGTCCCCGTGTAAGCTGATTCTGCCTTCTAGAGGGGAACATGTACATTGCCATCTACATAAGACTGTAAAGGACTCCTGGTCACAGAATCCTCTGCTGCTGCAGATATCCACAGCCTTCTCCACTGTGATCTGGTTTTCTGTGCTGTTGTTGCCTGAGATGGAAGCTGCCTTGGCATGTTGATTCAAGCTGTAGGCTGGTTAAGATGGGTTTTAACTGAAGTGTCTTTTTGAGCATGCCATTTTGTGCTGGGAAAATGGTGGCTTTGCAAGCTGAATCTGGGAGGGATCCTAGCAAATGCTTCCTAATGGGAACTTGTGCCTTTCTGAAATAGGTTGCTGGCCCTTCTGGGTTTCTTCCCTTTAGAACTAACTTCCCATCTGCATGTTTCTTCCTCTCTGGGTCTTTCTGTGGGATGCATTTCTGTTTTCCAGGCAGTAGCAGCAGCAGTAGTTCAGACTCTACATGCTCTGTCATAGAGAAACCTCTGGATAAGTCCTTCACTAGTGAGTGGGAGCTCTTAAGTCCTTTAAGCTTTGGCCTCTTCATAATCCGCACACTCCATTTCGCAATGCTGCGTGCTTCCTGCTGTGTCTGTTGGAAAGATGAACCTGAACCTTCAGCTCTGCTAAAGCATGCCTTTCCTTTGCTGCTTCCATGCTTGAAACAGTTGTTCAGTGTGCACTTTGTTAGCCAGCTATGTGAGAGAATAGGAAGCAATTGGGTGCGCTGCTTGAGCAAGATTTAAAGACAATGAAGAAATAATAGGTTAAAAAAAAAAACCAACAACCCAGTTTGCAACTTGTGTTAAATGATCCTTCTAAAATATCAGGAAAGTCTGAGCTAACTTTATGGGAGCTGCTCCAATATGAGTTCATTAAAAGGGCAGCTAGGCAGGTGACATGGGTTGTGCTATGGTACATTGCACTCTGCCTGCTCAAATTTAGTTTTTGAGAAGGCAGATGGAGCTGTGAACAATCAACATAAGGTTTAGGATTATACTTGCGAAGAAAACATCTAATGCTTGGTGGTGGTTGGGGTTTAACTGCCCCATGGCATTAAGTTATTGGTCATTGTGGAACTTAGTTCAGAGGAACAAGGGTCTACATTTTGGTCTAGAAGAAGGCAAGTCGGGTCTGCTTCTGGCCAGAGAGAGGGCTCTGTGCCTTTAAAACCCTTACAGTCAGTGATGGCTGAAGAAATAAATCACATCTTGGGACTCTGCTTTTAGAGACTTCACCCATTTTTGTGGTTATCCTGAATAGATGCAGTCCCTTCTCCCCACTGTGTGGAGAGTCTGGGAAGTATTGCTGTGTAATTCAATCACACTTACCCTAGTTACATTAGTGGAAAGCATCAGCTCAGAGAAAACATGGTAGCAGGTTAGGAAGGATCACAACCTAAGGGAGACCCTTAGTGGGTCTGCAGTGGTTGGGTTGGAATCTGCTTGCTTCAAACTTGCTCTTTCAAAGCTTGCTTGAAACCTGAGTATTTTATTTGGGTGAGGACAGTTAATAGCAAACTGCTGCTGTGGCAGTGGACGGATGAGTGCATCTCCTGTGGATTTGGAGAGAGCTTTGCTGTGGAAGTTGCACTGGGCTTTTGGTGCTTAGGATAAGTGTGGCTATATGTGGTTTGGGATATTAACTGTCCTCCAGTGTGACCCCTTTGCATGTGGTGTCTTTCACTATCCCCTTCCTGTCCTGCCTTTTTTTGCTGTCCTTGCTTGAATAACCAAACCTGCCTATATACCTCTATGGAAGCATCAGTTACTGCAAATTAACCTACTAATACCCTGTGTAATTAAATGGAGAAATCTTGTGCTGAGACTCCCTATGTGCAACTGTCATGTATCTTGCAAAGAATTGGCTTGAAACCTTGGTTAAAACTGTGAAGGTGTCTGCTGAATGCTAATATTTTACAGGTAATATAACAGAATTGGCTGTCTTGAGTGGGAGGGAAAGCATTAAGTCTCTTGTTGAAGAAATCCACCCTCTAATTGTTTCTTAGGGCATGATCTTTGCGGCAGGCTCCTAATGTACACTTAGATTCTGCATTGCATTGAATGGGCAGGAGAATGCAAGAGTGAGCTGAAGATTATCCTGGATATGCAAAGCACTCTGAAGTACAGAAACTTTCTCTGCTTTAGCATAAAATCACGATGCGTTCATGTTGCCTCTAATCGAGTTCTTTAAAGTGATGATTATCCTGTGTTTTCTACTCTAGAAACATGCATAAACAAATGTTGTTTGTTCTGATGCTGATGATCTCTGTCCAAAATGATCAAAGCAGTAATATATTTTCTTTCCTCCTCTTTTTATGGTATGCTGCCTCTCCACGATTTGCTTTCTACTTCCTCTTAATGCAAGATCAAGCAGGTTGGTGTAATGGATTTCCACCTCCTCAGAATACCCTTGTAGAGCTTGGGAAAGTGCCTTACAGCTTGGTTTAGTTCACCTTTTTCTCCTATTCTGGGAACAACTTCTTGAGCATGTTCTGAGCATACATACTATGTCATGCAAAAACACTCCCTTGACAGTCAATGGCTTCTCTTAGTTTCTAGGCATCTGGATTCTATGGGGTTTTTTTCATGTCTGGAGAAGAACAAAACCAGAAACCAAAGGATTTGCTTGTAGTGACTAAAGGGCGATGTAGGATTTCAGAGAGACCTGTGGATCTGAGGAAATGCGTGTAGGCTGGGTCTTGGTGTTACCCTGGGATTACAGTGAAAGCTGACCAAGGACTTGCAGAGTGACTTCCAGGAGCAGCCTCACACTTTGTTTCTAAATGAGGTGCTTGGGACCAGCCCTTCAGGCCGATGGGCTCAGTGAGCTGCTCTGGCCACTTCCTTTGGAACCCTCCGTGAAATGTACCTGGTTTGCTGTAGTAGTGAAGTAGTAGTAATGTTGTAAAGGCACAGTTGATAAGTCTCAGCAAACCTTCCTGCAGTGGGAATGCCAATTGAAACTTGAGTATGTAACTCTTGATAGCTTGGCTCTCGTAGCTGTAGGTCAAGGCAGCTTTTGTTTTCCTTTATTCACCGTAATGTACCCAGTCAGAACATGAGAGTTTCCAGCTCAGACTTTGGGCAGTGGTCCTTCTCCAAGTGTTCTGTGTTGTCTGTTTTGAGGTCATTATGTTTTAGTTATGCAGCATTCCTTCTCTGTAGGAACTGGTGACAACTGGTCAATGTTAAAATGGGATTTGAAAGACTGAGTTGTGCCTGGCTTGGAGCTGACATCTAATTAAATATGTTAAATGCAAGTATTGAATCTGAACCTGGAAAAATAAAATGCCATGCTATAGAAACTGTCTTATTTGTCTGTGAACTGATTTGTTTTCCCTGTCTCTTTCCAAAGGCAAAAAGAAAGTTTCCCCTGATAAGATGGTAGAGATGCAAGCAAAGATTGAAGAGGAGAGAAAAGCTCTTGAAACTAAGCTTGACATGGAAGAAGAAGAAAGAAATAAAGCCAGAGCTGAGCTGGAGAAGAGAGAAAAAGACTTGCTTAAAGCTCAGTGAGTATCCCTCTCTGAGCAGTTTGGGGTTTTCATTCTTTAACTACAACTCGGTTCTGGATATCTGGAAATGCCTGGTGAGGTGCCTTTGTATAAACTGAACAGCTGAAAAGCCACTGAGATCACAGTGGCCCATGGAAATAGGGTAGTCCTGCTGCCAGAGGCTGCTTCAGCAGCAGCCAGCATTCCTGGTTGGCATCTCAGCTGCCTTGCCTTGATCTCTGTTCATTCACTTCCATTCTGCAGCTGCCTCTGGGCACTGCTGTGCTGGCGGGGCCCTTGGGGAGGGGGTGCCTTGGGCATCCAGGCAATGTCACTGTGGACTCCCAGCCCCTCACAGAGGGGCTTTAGCTAGAGAGACTTCTCTGCTGACCCAGTTTGCTTGTGGGAAAGCTGGAGCTCAGGGAACTCCCTGCATTCACTTGCGCTGCCTCACCCCCACTTAAACCCTTGACAGCAAGACAAGTTTTTCCAGCCCTGCAAATGCCGTCTGGGCTGTAAAACTGAGCTGGACCTGCTGCCTTGTGAGCACTGTGGGATAGAAAGTTTTACACTTGCCTGTCTCTAGACAAGAGCACCAGTCCCTCTTGGAGAAACTGTCTGCACTGGAGAAGAAAGTGATTGTAGGAGGAGTGGACTTGCTGGCAAAAGCAGAGGAGCAAGAGAAGCTTCTAGAAGAATCAAATATGGAACTGGAAGAACGAAGGAAGAGAGCAGAACAGCTTCGCAAGGAGCTTGAGGAGAAGGAGGTGGGGTTATATGCTGTAGCTGTCTGAAAACAGCAGTGGCAGGACGCAGTGTTGTGCCTTAGCATTGCTCCTGTGCATGAAACATGGCTCTGCTCTGAAAAATGTAGCAGAAGTGAATGGCTTCAGAGGCCACACAATGCCACTGCAATCACTGTGGGGCATAGCCAGGGCTCCAGGCCCTTGGCAAATGCTTTCCTTTGTTCAAGTAGTTTCTTTTCTTGTTCATAGCATTGCAGATAGTTTCTTTGGTTATGTTGATGTATGGATGTCTGTGTTGAATCTTGCACACAGCAAGAACGCTTGGACATCGAGGAGAAGTACACCAGTCTCCAGGAAGAAGCACAGGGGAAAACCAAAAAGCTGAAGAAAGTCTGGACCATGCTTATGGCTGCAAAATCAGAGGTTAGTGTCTGAGGCTCTCAGCCTGGGATCACATGAGGGACTACAGCTGGGAGGGGGGTAAGCCATCAGCTTTGTAACACAAAGATCTAATGAAGTCTGGTGTCAGAGCTTCACAGGGGCATGTTGGAGAGCATTCCCCCAGCCCAGGCTGAAAGGAACAATGTGTGAGACGGATGCACACAGAAGGAAAAACACCGGGTGTTTTGTTTGAGCTGCCAGCCAACAGCTTTCCAAATCTCCTGCTTTGCAGCAGCCCAGTGCTCCTCTGCTCTTAGCTGTCTGTCTGTTCTCCCTGCTGCCCTTGTTACCTCTTGCTCAGTCACTGGACGAAAGTGTCCTTTGGCTGGTATCTTGAGCTCCTGTTTCACAAAATTGCATTTTGTCTTAGGGATCAGAGGTTTTCCTTGAAATCTTGCCAGGGATATAACTTGGCTCACACTCTTCATCTGCTCTTAGCTGGTGCAGAGCTTGGGTTGGCAGAAAGTCAGCTTCAGTTTTATGAAGCTGAGAACTTAAAGTTGCTCTCAGCCATCTCTGAGCTGGAACTTTCCAGAGGGTTTATTCTTCAGAGATAAAATATTCTATACTTATAACCAGAGTTTGCTTTTGTTTCCTGAAATCTTCATATAGGCCGAAGACTCTTCTCTTTTAGGCTTTTACCATGTCTTAAGCTAGCTCTGATCCTCTCAAATGCTCTCATCTGGTTTATTTTCAGATGGCAGATCTCCAGCAAGAGCATCAGAGAGAGATTGAAGGATTACTAGAGAATATTCGGCAGCTGAGCAGGGAACTTCGTCTTCAGATGCTTATCATAGACAACTTCATTCCTCAGGACTACCAGGTAAAGACAGAGAACCAAAGCCTGTGGCATAAGATTGTGCTGTGCATGCCGAGCCCTCCAGCTTTTATTCTGTCCACTGAATGGAATGAGTTGGCTCTTGTCTCTTCATGAGGTGTTCACAGTGCACTGATGGACACTTGTCTGTTAGGTTGTGGCACAGATGACTAGTTGTATGCTGCTGTGAGCTTTCCTTTGCTGTGGCTCAGCTAAGCAACGTGGTGGCATTCATGTGTTGGTGTCATTATCTGGGTTGTTAGAACCAGGTGATGCTGAAGTAAGAAAAGATGCTGCTGACAAGTGACTCTTGTAACCTGGTGGGCTTCCAAGTGAAGTTTATTACTATCCTGATGGCACTGGCTTAATGGGAAGCCCATACTTTTGTGGGAATTCCAATTTGGGAGTGGTGTTTTTCTCTTCTGTAGGCTTTAAAGTATAAATAGGTGTGTTTGAACAGGATATGTTTGTCTTGATTAAAGGCAACTTCAATGATCAAAACTGTTGTTAAGCAGCTTGTCCAGGCCTTTAGGGATGTATGTTCTGGAGAATGCATCAGAAGTCTAGAACAATTACTGTTCTAATTTCTTCCTAGGAAATGATTGAAAACTATGTTCACTGGAATGAAGACATTGGAGAATGGCAGCTGGTAAGTTTGCTGGCTGTAGAAGCCAGTGTTAGCAGGAGTTTCTAAGGAGTTAAATTGAGCCCAGAAGTAAACTGCTAAAGCTGTAGTCACTTTTACTGTGCACAGCAGGCTCTGCTAACAGACCTTCTTTCTTTCTTTAAGAAATGTGTTGCATATACAGGGAACAACATGAGGAAACAGACTCCTGTCCTGGATAAGAAAGAAAAAGATGTGAGTGACTCTTTCTAAGCATGTGTTAAACTGTGTGTGGCCAAATTCTGCTACCTGTGCCTGTGTATTGATAGAGAAACTGCCCAATTTCTTCTTTGGAAGAGAGCAGTCTTCCTAGTGTTAGAAAAGCACTGTGGATCGGGGCATAAAATGATTCTGATGTGCCTGTTTTGTGGGTGTTTTGCCTTTTTAGCCCTTTGAAGTGGACCTTTCCCATGTTTACTTAGCCTACACTGAAGAAAGCTTGAGGCAATCACTGATGAAGCTGGAGAGGCCAAGGACTTCAAAAGGAAGATCCAGGCCCAAGACGGGTAGAAGGTGAAGAACTTTGGAGTATCTATATGGGGGATTTACCCAGGGGAAGGCTTAAGTCTGTGCATGCAAACTGACCATAGATCTTCAAACGGTTGCTTAGTGAGAAGACACAATGCTAACATTTTGCGCGGTATAAAGTTTATCTGTGCTGAGTATGACAGAACCAAGCTGAAGTCTCTTTACCACAGCAGGATCTTGTCCAGAAAGACTTGTCTGGGTGTTTTTCTGATGCCCTTTTGCTGTATTCCCCTCTTCTGGCTCCTTGCTTTATTTTACTGTGGTCTGTGGTTCAGTTCGACACCTGACTCATCGACTGATGTTACTGGAAAGTTACGTGCTGTTGGGGGAGATTTCAGCATGGGTTTCCTTGGTTATTTTTGGTTTTGACAAATACTTGGAAGAGTAACGTTGTGTAGTTTTAACTTGAGATGTGACTGGTCCCTGTCTTTCCTAGACAGCCTCATGATGTGTGTATGGTGCTATTTTTCCCTTTCCTTTCTGCTCTCCAAACAGAAAACGTTCGGCAAAGCCAGGAGCTGTCATTGACTCTCTGCTGCAGTAGGTGTGACCTGTTCAGAATTGCCGTATAAATCAGTGAGTGTGTAAGATTGGGCCAGAATATGGAGTTCAAGAGGTGGCACAGTTTGGCTATAAAATCCATACCTTGCTGGTATGGAGCTTTATTTTAAAGAAATGTATTTTTCCTTAGTTGCCCGTATATTGTATGTTATATTAACATAATATTAAACTGGTATGTATGATGGTTGTGAAATTCTATGTGTTAACGTGTTGTGCAGGGAAACTGTTGCTGGCAGTCCTTGTTGAGATGTAGAAAATAAGGGTTCTAGATGCGTGTTTAAGTGCTGTAGACGTGTTAGCTCAAAACAGTTGATGAAATCCTACAGTTAGAGGCAGGTAAATCTGATTTATGCCCTGCTTTGCACATAACTGGCAGCTTTCACTCTTGTCCTCTGTTGCACTGATCTGTGTTTGAATGTGGTTGCTGCAAACCTTTAGGAGCATCAAACCCTTTTATTTAAATGCCCCTCACTGTGGCTATTAACCTGATGGTGTTGTGTATGGAATACACAGTCCTTTTCCCTTCCTTTGCTGTCTTGCTGTACAAAGAAAAAGTAGTTGCATAGGGGAAACATGCACTACAAAAGTCTGAGGCTTCTGGGAAGGGACCATTCTCTGTTTAAGTGCAACAGAAAACAAACGTGTCCAAGTACTGCTTTTATCTTTGTCTGTATGCCCATGATCTGGCACTGTGGGGAATGGGGGCTCTGATGCAAAGGCAAAAGAGCTCTCTTGGGTTTACTCTCCTGTTAAGGCTGTGTGGCAGCGTTGCTTTGGCTGCTTTTTGTGCTGTTGATCTGGAATTTTTTACATGTATGTGAATTGTTTTGGAATTGCAGCAGCAGAGATTATTTAAGGGGAATGCTGTGACACTAGGACTTGGCTTCAGCCATGGGACTGAGCATGATGGCTCCATTCTCCCATCCCTGGCTCCAAGGGCACTGGACCAGTGCTCTGCACTGAGGGTGAATTTGTCTCTCCCGTATTAAAACGGGCATGAATTACCCAGAACAGTATCATCCCTTGAAGTAGCTGATGCTGTTTGTGTTCCTGTGTCATCTCTGGTTCCTGGCTATGCTCTGATGAGAGGAAGCAAATCCTGGTCTCTTGATAACAACCATTTCTTTGTGGTGGCTGCTCTTTTCTTTGATATTTATGCTGCTAACAGACACGTATCACTTTAATACGTTGCTTTTGTGCTACAGAAAAGGCATTCTGAGCTGCAGGCACTGGAACAGCTCCTGTGCCAGGGTGGGGGTGGTCAGCTGTGATTTCTTGTGATCTTCATGTTACCTAGAGATGTAGAGAGCTGTGATCACTAATAGGAGAAATAGAGTCCTCAAGCATGACAGAAAGCACGAGACAGCTCCTTAGGTGTCCTGAGTTCTTACATAGCCACGTTTGCAATTACCAGAGTGTTCTTGTGAAGTACTTAGAGTAGCTAAAAGTCAATAGCCCTTTCTTGTGGTCATGCTGCTTAACTGGATGTACCTTGTGGCTCTGGCAGGTCTGTAACAGGATCTGTACTAGTTAAAACTGGTCTTGTAAGGGCACATTTTGCTCTAGAGATGTATTCAGTCCTATTCTAAATGAGTTGTAAGCTCTTCCCTGTTGTGTTTTAGCTGTGTTTCAGGACAGTGATGTAGAACTGCCCTGTTTTGGGGGGCAGTGTCACCAACGTTCATACAAGATCAGGCTTTGTTGCCTGAATTCATACAAGTTACACATACAAACCGTGGCATTTGGTTTCTCTAGCCTAGCACTGAAAGAGGTAAATACTCACAGGTTTTGTGGATTTCAGCTGTATTTGGCTTTGCTCTTGAAGAGCTGACCTTACTTTGAGAGTGCTTGGATACACTTGGGCTCTCATGTAACACACTTCCCATCAAACAACATCAAACTGCTTCGGTGCTGTTTTGTCTTAGGCTTTGTGCCAGTTCTGACTCCAAGCAGACAGATGCATGGTTTGGGCCTGTACTAGTTCACAAAACCAGGGCTAATTGTTGTATTCCCCTTGTGTTACGTCTGGCTGTGCTAAGCTTTAAGTGATCTGTTTATAAGGGAGTTTCTGCTGAACTGTGCTTTCTAAGGGACCATGAAGAAGTCTTTTACCTGACAGACATCAGCGGCTTAAAGATGCCACTGTGAACCATGGCACTGCAGTTAAAATACTTAGAGCTTAACTATAAAGGCCTATGCTTTACAATTTAATCAAGTTGCCATCCTGCTGCTGAGAACAATAGTATTCCACATAGTTAAGTGAGCCTTGGGCCGGAGAATACAATAACTGCTTGCACACCTTTTAATTGGCAGAAACTGGCTATAATCTGTTACAGGGGCTTGGAGAACAGATTATCTGCTCTTACAAGAGGACTTTAGTGGAGCTCTATCATGGTTAGGCTCTGTCAGCTTGGCTCACCTTTAACTGGTGTGACCTGTTGCAATTCTGGGCACTCTTTTGGAACCAGGGAGTCTGGTTTGCAGGGTTAGCACATGGGCCCTCTCTAGCCCTGGGCTGTGAATATCTAATGGATCCATGATGGGTTTTAATGCAGAAGGAGTTTGGTTTGTGTGGGGTTCTTTAAGAGCTTCACGCAGCCTTTCTCATCCCAAGGTCAGTGCATGCTCTAGAGTATTTACCAAAACCCAGATTACCATAATATATACAGTGTGTGCTCCTCCTTGCATCTTGCTACCAGAAGATTCCCCTCATTCCAGACCATTGACTTTAACATTGAGAGTTTTGGCGCGTTATGTTGTTTAATGTTGTGTAAATGAATTATTTTGTATTTAACTTGCTCCTGATCCTTTCTTTAAGAGGAGGGGAAGATGGTCCTTAGTGCCTTTCACTGACTACACTGTCTGCACGTGTCCAGCTTTCACCTTCTCAAGGGTTCTGCTTCACCAGTCCTGTATATAGGATAAAACACTAGTCTGTCTGTATGATTTGTCTTCCTATTTATTGGTTTTCTAACTGTTTATTTCTGGTTAATCTTTGGTTTATGATTAAACTTCATTCATTACACTGTATATATCAGTATTGTGTCCCTGGAGCATGTCCATACCATGAAATAAAACTCTGGATTCCTAGTTGGACCTCTGTGCATGTTTCTCAAATACCTTTACACATACAGCAGCTGTCTACGTCGGAAGATGCATCAGGAAGGGTAAACTACTCTGTGTGTCTCTGTGATGCACAGTACTCACTGGAGAAGTTGGGGAAGGGAGTTTGGGTGTGGGGACCCCATTGCCAAGCCCTGTGGCAGTGGGCACGCAGCTCTTGTGGAAGAGATGGAAAGGGCAGGACTTAGGGGATGCTTTGCAAGACTCTGGAGATCAGTGTGGGATGCTCTAAGGAAATGGTGAGCCCCTGTTCAAGCCCATCCTCTCCTGAGGAAGAGGAGAGCCCAGCTGAGCCAGAGCACTGCAGGAGCAGCAGCTTGTCCACTGGAATATGGGTGCTGCCTGTGTTCTGCCTCTTCCTGCACACCTCCATCAGCTATACCACCTATGCCATGCAGAGATGCTTTTCACACTGTTCTGCCTCAAAGTGTCTCTGTCCTGCACCCTAAGCCTGTCGCCCTGGATTCCTGCGGATGCTCTGAATTCACCTGCAGCCACTGGAAATGTTCAGCTCGCTTCCTCTGGAAGGCTTCCAGCCTGCTCATGCACTAGGTAATAAGTTGGTTGTGCTCTGGTAATGCTGCAGCTCCCCTGACTAGTGACTTGGCCCAAAACAAACCCTGCACTGTCCTGGGGCTTTCCCAAGTGCCATAGTAGGTTGCAAAACAGTGGACTTCATGGCTTTAAACCCCCTTATTTGGGAAGTCCCAGTTCCATCTAGTGTGCTGGAGCCAGCACTGCCCCTCCTGGCCCTTGTTGCCCCTTTCCAACATCATGGATAGAAAATACCTGTTCTTTCTTCCTTGCTCTGCCATTCTCCTCTGTCCTAGCTGTAACCTCTCCTTGTGTCCCTCAGCAATCTGCTGGGATTGATATCACCAGGAGCAGGGGTGGGTCTCCACGCTGTGCCTGGCACCTTCAAGCTCTCCAGCACGCTGCTGCGCTGGGCAGTTTCTAGCCAAGAAGCATCTTGCACAATGCCAGCAAGTTTAGTGCAAAAATACATTTATTTAAAGAAGTTATTATAAATAATCTCTGACAAATACAGCATTATAGTTACGGACACAAACCAAAGGGCTGTTCACTTCAAGCTCTGCCCTTTTACCAGTCGGTGGAGGGCTCTGCGCAAGTCCAGGAGGAAATCACCCAGGGAGGTAGTGCTGCCTCCTGGCACGGAGCACGGGGCCTGGGAGAGAGCAGAGTGGTCATTAGGGTGTTTGCTAGGGGGGGATCCGCTTCTGCAGCGTGGTCCTGGGGGTGAAGGGGTGAAAGCAGAAGCGGTGACTGAGGGAGAAGCGGATGCCGTGAGCAGGGAGGGGAGGCCCTTGTGTACCTTGTAGACTCTGCTCTTCCTTCGGAGCAGGCTGAGCAGGTTGAGGTGGATGCCCTCCAGGTGCCTGTGGCAGCGCCGGCCCTCCCAGGTAACTGTGGTGGCTTTGCATAAGGTCTCCAGGTCGTTGTCTTGCTGGAAAGAGATGCGTGTGGTTTTTGAGACACCCTTGTGTGCAGTCACGGCTTCATCCACAGCAGGTTAAACCAGAGCAAGTAAGAACCCCAGCCTGGTTTGGGTTGAAGGGACCTTAAAGCTCATCCAGTTCCGACCCCTGCCGCAGGCAGGGACAATAACACATTTCTGTCCCTAAGAGCAGGTGCAAGGTACAGCAGGAGATGTCAGAGCCCCCCTGAAGCTCCCCAGTCTGCTGCTGTCCTGATGGTGACAAGTCCTGGCAGAGCTCAGCATAGTGGTGAGCACCCTCATGCTTAGAGCATTGTGCTCCTGTTGCGGACCTGGTGCTCAGGGAGCTGTTCCCTGTGGCTTCCATGGGAATGGAGCTGATTTGAGGGGGCAGAGGCTCTATGGGAATAACAAAAGCCCCTGGGAAGAGGGGACATTGCCTCCAGCGGGTGCTTTGAGGGGATAAAGCCTCATAGCAGAGACACATGGAAGATGAGGAGCTGGTAAATGAAACACTGGTGATAAGGAAACTATTCAGCTGTCTTCCCTGGGGGATGTCCCCAGCGCAGAGAAGTTCACTGAGCCCTGCCTGCTCAGATCTCCTCGGCTTTAAA